TCGAGCCAGACACCAAGGGATTTGTATGTGTGGACCGCCTCTATGATATTTCTCTCAAGAGTGGTCACTGAGGGCATACTTAGAGGTCTTTTTTTAGAGTTTGAAAACAACTTTAGCTTAATCATGTCGGCATTGAGGACCAATTTTAACAGCAGAAGTGTTTGTTGGACCTCATTAAAAGCTTTCTGTAAGAAATCAACAGCTTTAGTGGGAGATGTTCCATAACAATAAATGATTGTCATCAGCGTAAAAGTGCATACTAGCATCTGACACATTTTCTCCTGTGTCATTGATACACATAATGAATAAGAGGGGTTACTTGTTATGTTTCGGTTGCTAACAGGCACCAGAATTAAAATGAAAAATTAAACAAGTAATCAATTTCTTCATCCATCGTCACCCGCGAGGTACACATGTAGGGAAATCCGTCCGACTGAGGCCTGGGACACACCAGCCGCCGAAGTGCCACGAAACGGGGGCCGCCTTCATTCGGCGCCCTTGTTATCCTATTCTATTGGTATGGATGTGTCCCAGGTGTTAAACGTCGACTTTCAGCCACTCCCCCTGCTGCGTCCGTCTGCTCTCATCTGTTTTCCAGGCGAGGCGCTGCTCAACTCGAACAAGCCCGATGTCAAACACCTGTGTGGCTCAATACAGCAGAGCATCATGGGAAATAGAGTCCCAGTCAATGAAAACAGTGCACTTATTAAAAGCAATCTAAATCAACTCAAGAGGGGAGAGATTTATACATTGCAAACATCAAGCTAAAAAATGCTATCATAAAGCAAGGCAATGAAGTATATAAAAATACAACAGTATGCTTTCTTTAAAGAAACAATCAGTCTCTGACCGAAAGCTCGACAAATAAAGCTCTCACATCGCAGATTGAAGTGTGCGGATTCTGATCTTTTTGAGCGCTGCTGGTTTAACCATTGCTGATGTTCTGCTACTTCTTCTATTTATCCTTTTGGGTGTCTTCTTCCTCTCATCATCATCTAGTATTTCTAGCCATAGCTGAAACATGTCAGGTAAAAACAAATTTTTTTACTAAACTGTGTAAAAAAGGAACAAGAAATGTACTCTGTACTTTCTCTTTTTTTATATTTACAAAAGGGTTAGGGTTAAGTCCTCCATCAGATTTGTGCCTCTTCTAGTGCCATTCTAAAGGATTTTATTTATTTATTTAACCATTACTAGATTACCAGCAACAGAAATGCTACTAGAAACACACAATTATGTGAAGCTGGAAAAATTAGAATACTGTGCAAAATGACATTTATTTCAGTGATTTAACCAGACTGAGAGACCATTTAAAGGCTCACGAACCTTTACAGGTGTTTATTTGCTATTTTAAATTTTAGCTGATTAGAATCTTGTTAAATATCACACAGTGACATTTGAATAGTCTAGATTAGTGTAATGTTCTTGTTTGTAGTTCCTCCAGTAAAGTGCCCATTGATTTCAATTATTCAGTTTTGTAAAAAAAAAAAAAAAATTGGACATACATTTTATTATGTTGCCCTGAAACTTCTAAATTTCCTTTTTTTACGTTTCTTTGGTTCCCTAAAAGGCTATTTTTAATTTCTTTAAATCTAAATTAACAACTACTTTACCATTATTCACTGTCTCTATCTAACCAGAAAAAAATACCACAATCCACATAGACCCCAATTACCTTCAGATTTTTTAAACAATGATAAAGTTTTCATAAAAACAAATGCTATAATTATAATTTTAAAGGGAACACATGGCATTTTTCTTTGAGTTATAATAGTGCTATGGTCTACACCAGGGATTCCCAAAGTGTGGTGCGCGCACCCCTGGGGGTGCGCGAGCTGCCGCTAGGGGGTGCGCGAGGTGAAAAGTGTAATGGCTGCGGAGCTCAGAGAAGTCTGTCATATGTCACCATGGACGTAATTTTGGGGGGGGACAGGGGGGACATGTCCCCCCCACTTTTTCCAAAGTCAAGTTTTGACCCCTGCATTTTTACCATCCAAAAGCAATATTACACTATATTAAATTGACACTGGTTGAGCTCTAGGACCAAGCGGAAAACAACTGTTGAAGGCTGTTTCCAATTAGAGCATACTGTAAATATACACCCCCCCCCCCCCCCGTGTCCCCCCCACTTCTTAAGTGAAAATTACGTCCATGTATGTCACCATTAGTGTAGAAACTCATTTGTGGGTGGGCCAAAGAAAAAGTAAGTGGGCACAATAAATGTAATTGAAAACAAGTATATTTTTGCGCGCGCGTGTCCTCCACATGTGCCCTAGCTTCATAATAATAATGCGCTGAGCTTCAGCACTCTGGCCTGCGCACACCGATATGTTCTGTCGCGCGCGTGTCCTCCACATGTGCCCTAGCTTCATAATAACAATGCGCCGAGCTTCAGCACTCTGGCCTGCGCACGCCGATATGTTCCGTCGCGCGCGTGCGTGTCCTCCACATGTGCCCTAACTTGAGAGAGAGAGAGGGAGAGAGAGAGAGAGAGAGAGAGAGATGCACCGATGTGGGGGCTGGGGGGGGGGGGGTGCGTCGACATGGTCGGGACATAGAAGGGGGTGCGCGTCTAAATAAGTTTGGGAACCACTGGTCTACACAAAAGTTGTTCATTACGTTTTTTTGCATTAAATCCCTCACACAAAAAGTGATGTCACATGTTTTATTCTTGACGTCACCATTTTAATTATAGAATTCACCAAAGAAAACTGTAGAAATACCATATGTATAAGGAATAACTGAGTGGGTCAGAAGGACCCAACATAAACACCACATAGGCACCGCGGTTCAAATTTTTGAGAAGTTAAAACACTTAGTACTTTCGAAAGGAAAAATGAACAAGAACTATGCAATGTACGGTAGACTATAAAGTACCCAGCTGCACATGCAACAAATGCTACAGCGGAGAAACTGGAAGGTCCCTCGGCACATGAACCAACAAAACATCGTTAAGATGGCAAAAAAGAAACTCAGGCTAGACTCACCACACACAAAAAACACACCACGGAAAAGAGACACACTAATCTGTAATTACCAATCACTGCAAGCAAAACAACAACATAAAGGACTGGGAAAACATCTGCATCGTAGGAAGAGGAAGTGACAAATACAAAAGATGGATAAAAGAAGCCATTCAAATCAGAGAATAGAACATGAACCAAAAACTATCAACAGACGAGGTGGCTTGTAAACTGTCCAACACTTGGGACACACTCATCAAGGCAACGCCGATCATATGTGGGAGGACGCTCAGACCCGACAGATTCTCTCACCCCTCCACATGACGTGCACAGGGGTTCCGGATATAAGCCACGTCAGTGTCTATACAGGTGACAAAGCTTCAAGTGAGAAGCCAAAAATGTTGGTACAGGTGGTGAACGATCCACCTTTTTTTTTTACCCCAAAAAACTTATTGTCAAATAGAAAAAACTTATAAGTATAGAAAGAACAGGCATCATGAACTTCATATTGGAGTTCAGATCCTTCCAGAATGAGCGGTTTCAGGGCTGTCACTTTAAGAAGACATGCTACTGCTGGACACACTCACGCACCCCCTAATAGGACAGGAGATTACCACAAGTGAAAATGGAAAATTGCAGCATGTTTTTGTTTCCTCCCTGCTCCAGCACACCTGATATTAATAAGTAAGTGATATCAGACTTCTTCAGAGCTTGATGAACTGCTGACCAGGGGACTTAACCACTGAATTGGATTTAACCTTTTTATAGTGGAGCAGGGAAACAACTAGCACATGCTAGATTGTGGCCTTCCAGAACCAGGACTGATCTAGGAGAAAGAGCTGCCGCTGGAGGTACAAAACTGAAATCTAGGATGTGCACATTAATTCCACCTTTTAGTTCTTTTTAAAACACAGAAAGGTTTTATTTACCTGCAACGTTTCGTTTGCAGCTGCAAACGTCCTCAGGCTTACGCTGATGGTGGCGTCACTTCCTTCTCAGTTTATCCGCGGGCAGCAGAGGACGTTGTCGCCCTCTGCTGCCCGCTCTCCCCTCTCCGACGATGCAGTCCCATGCACGATCCAATGAGTAAACTCCAGTGTCCCTGTTTATGGTCCCACATCCACGTCTCCTTATCTCGATAGCTTCTTTTATCCATCTTTTGTATTTCTGTTGTTCGGTGTTTATGATCCTTGTGTTGTCCCAGTCCATTATATTGTTTTCTCTTGTGCAGTGATCTGTTACGGCCGACTTCTTTATTGTGCTTTCTGCTTCTTCTTTTGCTGCTCTTGTGTGTTTTCGACTTGTTTCTTTCTCGCACTCCTTTCTATGTTCTATTGTTCGTGTGTTGAGTTGGCGTCCGGTTTCTCCTATGTATGTTTTATTGCAGAGTTTGCATGGGATTTCGTAAACGACTCCACATTTAAGTCCAGCTGGTATCTTGTCTTATTGGGTGCACTAGTCTGTTTCTAACCAGCAACCCAAAAAGACAAGAACCACAACCAGTGATAAAAAAACACAACATAAACACACCAACAAAACCATACACAACAGTTAGAAACAGACTAGTGCACACAAAAGACAAAATACCAGCTGGACTTAAATGTGGAGTCATTTACAAAATCCCATGCAAACTCTGAAATAAACATACATAGGAGAAACCGGACGCCAACTCAACACATGAACAATAGAACATAGAAAGGAGTGTGAGAAAGAGGTAAGTCAAAAACACACAAGAGCAGCAAAAGAAGAAGCAGAAAGCACAATAAAGAGGTCAGCCGTAACAGATCACTGCACAAGAGAAAACCATATAATGGACTGGGACAACACAAGGATCAAAAACACTGAACAACAGAAATACAAAAGATGGATTAAAGAAGCTATAGAGATAAGGAGACGTGGATGTGGGACCATGAACAGAGCCGATGGAGTTTACTCATTGGATCGTGCATGGGACGGCATCGTCGGAGAGGGGAGAGCGGGCAGCAGAGGGCGACAACGTCCTCTGCTGCCCGCGGATAAACTGAGAAGGAAGTGACGCCACCATCAGCGTCAGCCTGACGAAGTTTGCAGCCGCAAACGAAACGTTGCAGGCAAATAAAACCTTTCTGTGTTTTAAAAAGAACTAAAAGATGGAATTTAGAATTTCAACACAGCAAGAACACACCAAAGATGTGAACATTAAGTTGTACCAGTAGGAACCCTTGTAGTTAAATCTGTTTTGTTTTCTGTGTGGACTCTCATGTGTGTGTTTAAACTGACCTTATGCCTGAACCTGTCTCCACAAACATCACACACAAAAGGTTTCAGTCCTGTGTGGACTCTCATGTGAGTGTTTAAATTCGTCTTTTGGTTAAATTCTTTTCCACAAACATCGCATGGAAAAGGTTTTTGTCCTGTGTGGACACTTACGTGTCTGTTTAAATGTGTCTTATGAAAAAATTTTTGTCCACAGAGCTTACAAGAATATGGTTTATGTCCCGAGTGGACTCTTATATGTCCATTTAAATTTGACAATTGGCTAAATCTTTTTCCACAAAGCTCACATTCAAAAGGTTTCTGTCCTGTGTGGACTCTCATGTGACTTATTAAAGCTGTCTTCTGGTTAAATGTTTGTCCACAGACCTCACAAGAAAAAGGTTTCTCTCCTGTGTGGACTCTAATATGACCAATCAAATGTGGCTTACAGTTAAATCTTTGTCCACAAACATCACACATAAAACGTTTCTGTTTAGTGTGGACTTGCAGGTGTCCATTTGAGTTTTCACTAAATGTTTGTCCAGGAACATCGCAAGCAAGTGGTTTCTGACCTGTGTGGACTCTCATGTGACTGATAAAATGTGCCTTATAGCCAAATCTTTGTCCACAAACATCACAAGCAAAAGGTTTCTGACCTGTGTGGACTCTCATATGACTGTTAAGTTTTGATTCATCGCTAAAAGAAAATCCACGATCATCACAACTAAATGATTTTAGTTGCTTCTGGACTTTCCTGCATGAGTCTACATTTTGCTCCACTCCAACACCTTTCTTATTTTCCCAACATCTTGAAGACCTCATTGCTGAATAACTTGTCACTCTCACATGTTTCTGGAGAGACCCTTTGTGGAAAATACGTTTACCACACTCAGGGCAGCTTAAAGATTTGTTCACAGCCTTAACATCTGACTCAGATGACCCACTCTCGTTCCATTCTTTTTGACTGTCTTCAGTTTCTGGCTCAGAGTCTGACAAGGATTTCAGCTGACAGTCACATATGTTCTCTTCCTGGTCATCTTTATTCTCACTGAAATCAGTCCCAGAAGAGTTGGAATCATCTTCATAAGGATTTAGATCTGCATTCCTGGTACTTTCTGCTCCTTCACAGTCCTCTTCACCACTTTCTCCTTTGATCTGGACAGAAAAGCTGCTGGTTGGAAGATCTCGGTCAGTAGCCTGGTGCTTATTGAACTGTGACAACAGAAATTTGTCTTCTTCCTCCTCACACTGACAAGAACCTGCAGTGCATGATATCCTGGTGGCATAAGTCTTCATCATATCAGGAAGTGGCTCCTCCTCTTCCTCCTTCACGTTGAGGGTCTCCAGGTCCATCTGGCTCACACCAGGGCTTAGTGCTTTAGGAGCTGCTTCTTTATTCAACACCGTCTGCTGAACATCTACAGAGAACATTGAAACACAGAAACATTAACTTTATGTTTACACCAAGCACCTTACTTTTTTCTTTACCTTAATAAAACAACAAACATGTAACGGCAACAAATAGCTAATTTTCAAGACCCAGAATTAAAGGATGTGAGCTTTATGCTTGTTGTTTTGAACTGGAGATCAGCTGCAGAAAAAGGAGCCTAGACCTTGATGTCAACTTGGTGATGCACATAATCACTTTATTGGCATCAGAATGTCTTTAAAATTCACAGACATCATACGTGAAATCCATGACACATAACCAAGAGCATTAGAAAATAGCTTTTATAGCCCCATTGACTTGCATTCATTTTTTGTTCTTCTGGGGTCCCATAGTCTGGAAGTACCGTTAGATGGGCGTGACTTAGGCTCTCTACTGTGGGTGGGCCTACTGGGCCTTTTCTAATAAACTCCGGTGTAAAGTGAAATCCGTTTTAAAACATAAAGTTATAAATCCAGCAGGGTGAATCCTGGAAAAGCCTCCAACTTGTTTACATCGGTGAAAAACAGCAGGGAGAGTGTAAGCTAACGTTTGTAAGCTAGCTAACACTTAACTCTTGTAAATACTGCTCTCTAGGAACCCCACCTAGGTGTGCGAAATCAAGTGAACTGGAATTGAACTAGTATACACCGGCAAAAAAACACAACCTCGGTTGCAGTTTTACCTTCTGATCAATACTCAATGCGTAATTCGCTGCAGACGTCCACTATGGTGGACCCACATGATCAGGTGACAAGGGCTGAAACTATATATATATATATATGTGTGTGTGTGTGTGTGTGTGTGTGTGTGTGTGTGTGTGTGTGTGTGTGTGTGTGTGTGTGTGTATTAGAGCTGGGCAATAAATCGAAATTTCTGACTCTTATCGAGATAATTTTCCCCATGTCAATAAATCTGATATTAAAAAAAATTAAAAGATGTGTTTGGGTCCGCAATGTTCATGTCCCTTTAAGAAGCTGTACCACCTTGAGTCAGGTAAAAATGTGACTCAGCGTAATACGTGTGACAGCCCCATCTAGTGGACAACGTTTGTTTCTGTGCATACCTATAGTTATCATCTATTTATCGTTATCAAGGTGAAATCCTCAATATATCGTCATATTAATGTTAGGCCATATTGCCCAGCCCTAATATATATATATATATATATATATATGTATGTATATATATATATGTATGTATATATATATATATATATATATATATATATATGTGTATACATATATATATGTATGTATGTATATATGTATGTATATATATATATATATATATATATATATTATGTGTATACATATATATATGTATGTATGTATGTATGTATGTATATATATATATATATATATATATATATATGTACAGTGGGGCAAAAAAGTATTTAGTCAGCCACCGATTGTACAAGTTCTCCCACTTAAAATGATGACAGAGGTCAGTAATTTACATCATAGGTACACTTCAACTGTAAGACAGAATGTGAAAAAAAATCCATGAATTCACATGGCAGGATTTTTAAAGAATTTATTTGTAAATCAGGGTGGAAAATAAGTATTTGGTCACTTCAAACAAGGAAAATCTCTGGCTCTCACAGACCTGTAACGTCTTCTTTAAGAAGCTTTTCTGTCCTCCACTCGTTACCTGTATTAATGGCACCTGTTTGAACACATTATCTGTATAAAAGGCACCTGTCCACAGCCTCAAACAGTCAGACTCAAACTCCACTATGGCCAAGACCAAAGAGCTTTCGAAGGACACCAGGAAAAGAATTGTAGACCTGCACCAGACTGGGAAGAGTGAATCTACACTAGGCAAGCAGCTTGGTGTGAAAAAAATCAACTGTGGGAGGAATTATCAGAAAATGGAAGACATACAAGACCACTGATAATCTCCCTCGATCTGGGGCTCCACGCAAGATCTCATCCCGTGGGGTCAAAATGATCATGAGAACGATGAGCAAGAATCCCAGAACCACACGGGGGGACCTGGTGAATGACCTGCAGAGAGCTGGGACCACAGTAACAAAGGTCACCATCAGTAACACACTACAACGGCAGGGAATCAAATCCTGCAGTGCCAGACGTGTTCCGCTGCTGAAGCCAGTGCATGTCCAGGCCCGTCTGAAGTTTGCCAGAGAGCACATGGATGATACAGCAGAGGATTGGGAGAATGTCATGTGGTCAGATGAAACCAAAGTAGAACTTTTTGGTATAAACTCAACTCGTCGTGTTTGGAGGAAGAAGAATACTGAGTTGCATCCCAAGAACACCATACCTACTGTGAAGCACGGGGGTGGGAACATCATGCTTTGGGGCTGTTTTTCTGCTAAGGGGACAGGACGACGGATCCGTGTTAAGGACAGAATGAATGGGGCCATGTATCGTGAGATTCTGAGCCAAAACCTCCTTCCATCAGTGAGAGCTTTGAAGATGAAACGTGGCTGGGTCTTCCAACATGACAATGATCCCAAACACACCGCCAGGGCAACAAAGGAGTGGCTCCGTAAGAAGCATTTGAAAGTCCTGGAGTGGCCTAGCCAGTTTCCAGACCTCAACCCCATAGAAAATCTGTGGAGGGAGTTGAAAGTCCGTGTTGCTCGGCGACAGCCCCAAAACATCACTGCTCTCGAGAAGATTTGCATGGAGGAATGGGCCAAAATACCAGCTACTGTGTGTGCAAACCTGGTAAAGACCTATAGTAATCGTTTGACCTCTGTTGTTGCTAACAAAGGTTATGTTACAAAGTATTGAGTTGAATTTTTGTTATATTTTCCACCCTGATTTACAAATAAATTCTTTTAAAAATCCTGCCATGTGAATTCACGGATTTTTTTTCACATTCTGTCTCTCACAGTTGAAGTGTACCTATGATGTAAATTACTGACCTCTGTCATCATTTTAAGTGGGAGAACTTGCACAATCGGTGGCTGACTAAATACTTTTTTGCCCCACTGTATGTATGTGTGTATATATATATATATATATATCATATATATATGTATGTGTGTATATATATATATTTTACTAAGAAATGACAATGTAACCATAGAAACATTACTTGGTATACGTGTGTGTGTGTGTCTGCTCTGTCTTTTCGATCCCCAGTGAGTCGTGGTGGATGGCTGCTTATACTGAGCCAGGATCCTCTGGAGGTTTCTTCCTGTTAAAAGGGTGTTTTCCTCTCCACTGACGCTAAATGCATGCTTAGTATGATTGCTGTAAAGTCACTAAGTGACAAAGATGCACTTTGCTGGGTTCCTTATATAGGAAACTTTTTTCTAATTGGTTTAATGAACTGACCTGTATTGGAATGTTTACTATGTGGAGTCCCCTGAGACGACTCTTGCCGTGATTTGGCGCTATATAAATAAACTGAATTGAAGTGAATAGGAGAGGTCCGGGTCCAGGGACACCAGAAGAAGGTATATCGTTTAGCAACACGAAAACGATCACTAACTTCATCACATTTGGTTGAAAGTATAATAATATACAAACCCAGCATGCCCAGCTGATCATGGGGACTTTTTCCTCCGTTGCTCATTTTCCGTTAAACGTGAAAACTCTTGCTGAGAGTCTGCGGCTGATGTTTCAGAGTAAATCTCTCAGATTTCTCCCTCTGCTGCATCCAGTCGCTGTTTGACCTGCTGGCTCCACGTTTTTGTTAATATTCGCCATTAACATTTACTGTGCTGTTAGAGGTGGGCACATCAAGTTCCAATACGTCTATCCGCTTCTTTTTCCACCCTTGTAGAAAAAGAACAGTAAACACCGCGAAGGAGCATCCTGGACGGAAGTTCCGTCTATGTTTTTTCGTCCGTCACGGAACACAAACTGACTGGAACTACAAGCAAGATTAACCTCGGGACCAAAATGGTTTAAAAGGAAAAATATATCTAGCTATTACAGATTAGTCGACTGTAATTTAAAAAAAAAATACAAAAATGAAAATACAAGAAAAGTAAAATGTGATAAAAATGTTGTCAAATATCCTAATAAAAAAACAAGACATTTAAAAAATAATTAAAGTCAATATTAAGTTTAAAGGAAAGCAGCAATGAATGTAAGTTTATAAAAAAAATTGTTTGGTTGTTTGTTTGAAAGTTGTTAAGGTTTTTTTTTTTTAATTAGCACAGCGACCAACATCCCAGCATATATTTCGGTCGATGACACAATGCTCCATCTCAATTTGGCAAATATTTGCATACTTGTGTTCCACACACTCAGTCTTACTACGCACTTCCTCCAAGTGCACTTCACAGAAGACCGTAGGGCGCAGTGCGAGTATTAGGACTGGGCCATTGTCTGCTCCCTGGGCCAAGTGGGGAGCCATGAGACAAAGGACGATGGTGGGCACTGTTCTTGGCCGTGGCATGGATGGCTTTGTTCAGTCTCCTTTGACCTGGAGCAAGCAAGGTCCATGGAGCCACCAGTCAAGAGTCATAGTGACCACTGGGTCAACATAGGCACCAAGGCAGGCTGGAACTGTGCAGGAGTGCACAAAGTAGGAGTGTCCAGTGCTCCGGAGTATTTTGGGAGTGGGAAATGTCATGCTGCATTTTTAACCCTTTTTTGTGTTTCAATCTTGTGTTTTATTACAGCAGAGGTTTCCAGTGCGTTCTCCCTGCAGTCTGTTTTTGGTTTGCAGCACTCTGGTGATGGGTGGAGCCTTTGGTGGGCCCCTATAGTATAGCAATAGTCTTAGCAGAAATACCAAAAACTGGAACGTGTTTAGTGGAAAATATTTAGTGCAGAGACACTTACTGCATTTGGGATGGAAAAACAATGTGGGCACATCTTGCTCCTTATCAACAAATCTTGAGGGAAGTTTCCTCTTTCTAGAGGTTTTCCTGGTTTCTTCCATTATTTACAAAAACAAATTTAACATACAAAATATTAAAACGCCTTCGTGAAAAACGCAGCTGGAAAAAGTCAAACTGTGTGACAAAACAAGTACAAAAAAAGGCGAAGCAATGTCAAATATATGACTAAATATATTCTAAAGTTACTAAATAAAAACATAAAGTAAGATATTTAATGAAAATAATTATTATTTATACCAGTAGAAGAGATAGAAGTTGAAAATACGCGTCCAAAACAATTCCTCCCTCCTCTATGAGCATGGCAGAGTATTGATTTCCTGGTTCTCAGGTACGAACTTGCTTACAGTAACAATAACGTAATCTATTATATAACACTGGAAAGCACATCGTCTCAGTTTTCAGAATTCGTTGATTGCAGAAACTGTTGAAGAGTTATGATAGTTCAAAGTATGAAAACCATTTTGTGTTGCCGCTAACACAACTGCAGCAGCTTTGGGGCCCTATGCAAATGCATGGGTTGCACATAGGAAGAAACAGCCGTGTTAGTTGGTAATAAACATGCTGGTGAAAAACCTGAGAAAGGTGACTGGTTTGGGAAACTCGGGGTCTTGGCTTTTTGCAAATGCTGTGGTTTTGTTGGCGTGACCTTCAGAATGACATTGGGTGGTTCACAGCCGAGTGTAAGCTCCGTTGAGTCTGGTTCTCAGCAGGAAAGAGTAGAAATGCTCCCTCTGGATCAGGGGTCACTCAGTGTGTTTACAGAAAATCAAACTGTTGCCCTAAATAGACTGATGTTGTTTTTTTAATGCATGTAAACACGTTAGTCTTGCTGAAGGCAAACTGGTTCTAATCGTGCTGAAGCACCCAGCTAATGCGGTAGGAAACCAATTACATCTACATGTAAACGGATCGGTTGAGCTGATACCAGTAACTCCTGGAAGTGACGAGACCACAGAACCGGTCTTCTGACTGAATCATTGCCACAAAGAAACATCATCAAACAGTACAGTGCGTACCAAATAAGCTGTGCTGCAGCGATGTTCGTGTCCATCCCTTCAGCTATTGTACACATGCTGTTTTAACTTCGACTGCTTCACTCCCACCAGCATTTCTTTGCTATTTGTGTTGCCATAAGCTGACTGGAAGGATGCCGATATGAAAGGGCTCATGAGTTTGGTTTTCTAGCATACATGTAAACTAGGATAAAGGCTCCCAGTTTGCTACTTTAGATCCACCTAGGTCGAATTAGATGCAAATGTAAACACACTGACTGCCTTAAGAGAACGTGGCTCCAGTGCAGAAAGGCTAAACTCAGATTTACAGGAATGCCTACTGTGGATGGATGGATGGCAGCAGAGGGTGAGGTGGTGCTCACTCCTCCCTGCCACATGGACCCATGGGATAAACCATCAACCCTGCTCAATGGTCAACTTTCTTCGCGGGGGTCACCCATTAGGACAGTGGGATGGTTAACTCACACCGTGGGTCCAGACCCCCTCCTTATATTGCGATCCCACGAGCCGCATCATAACACAGAGCAAAGCAGATTTAAGATTCGCAACAAGAACAAAAACAATAAATAAGACTGGACAGAGAACAAAAACATATGCTCAAATAATAAATGGTACATTTCAACTTAGATAAAATTATTAATAAAAAAATCTGACCATAAAGCTACAGAAAATTAGGCCGCAAACGTAAAAGACGAGAACAACTTCTTAAATATTTTTAGATACCAACCAGTAGTCTGACATAAATAATCTTGAGATGTCCCTGTAGATTTAAATATTTAGCCCTTGATCCCACTATTACAGTTAGATGGCCATTTATCCATCACAGAATAAGGGTGATACTGAAATCCCCTCCGATTAAATTGTACTAGTTTGGATAATTAACAATACTTTAGTTTGTCTCTAACATCAGCAACATTTTCCTGTGAAAGCTGGAGCCATAGATAATAAAAATGATACTGGAGCTGTTTATATGACAGATAAAATGTCGTTAGGATGCATAACTGTAATTCTTAATGTCTAAACCCTGCTGAATGTTCCAATCCATGAAAAAGCCACAGAAAATAACATTATCTTCAATTCTCCATCAAACAAACACCCATTTGGACCTATTCTATGAAAAAAGGGGTCTTCATTTTTCTACGTGGAATAGTAAACTGTTCATTCCTTTATCTACAGATTTGTATTGTTTAAACTTTTCATTTGGAAAGAAACTTTTTTGCAGAAACACTGATTTTGGAATAACCAAATTATACACAAGCAAGTACATTTGAAATAAAACACACGCATCATTACTTTTTGTCTGATTTTGTTTTGTTTTTCCTTAAAGTGTGTACCGGTATTTAGTATTATGGATTTTTCATCTTTGAGTTAATGTTTTCTTGTTATTTACTCTATTTTTATCTCCTTTTTTGTTCCTGTAATGTCATCGCTGCTGTGAAACAAAAATCTCCCCACTGAGGCACAATAAAGGGATTTTCTATTCTATTCTTCTATCTGTAGCCTTTCAAGTTCCTGTTTTACTGCAGGTTAAATCCTTTCTCACAGGCCAACATCAAAAACCAAAAAACAATCATTTCCTCAAATGAAAATGCTAAATTTCACCTATCAACATTCCTGCTTTGGAATAGAAAAAGTGCAAAAAACACACTAATTCAAGCTCAGTTTGCTTCACTCTGATGCTCACTGGTTCAAGCCAGATACCAGCATCTTCATCAAAGAGAACAAATTAGAAGCATTTCAGTTTGTCTGATACTGAGGAGAGTACAGCTGCAGACGCAGAGACATGCACGGACATAGACATCATATACTGATGGGCATGGAGGCCAAATGAATGTAAGCAGGAAAGGTGGGGGCGCTACACTGCAAAGCACAATGGGATTTGTAGTATCTGTGAAAAACAAGCCAGCAGGCCAGTTAAAACACATTTGATATATGATCTCTGAGTTTGACGTGTCATTTAGAGTGGTGTGAGCTTTTGTTTTAAATCAGATTGTTACCGACAGCAACTACATTTAAGTGTTTTAGTCTCCCTTTTGACTGAATCATTGTGATGCTTTGTGCTTCAGCATGTCGGCGTAGATACTCAGTTGTCTCACCTTAAGAGATTTACCTGAAAACAATAGAACTTTTCTGGTTTTCTCGAAGATGTGCTGCCTCTCATCCAAGAGGCTTCTTCAGCTCTAAACCCTGGGTTGTGAGCAGGAGCCTTAGAAGTTGTGGTCAGAAACAAAAATGCTGATTGTGCTGAAAGTCTCTTTTTCTCCTTTAAAAATAAAAAACATCAGACTGGCGGGCTGCTCTATTGGACATTGAGCCGAGTACCTGGTGCTGCAGTCTGGTTCCAGCACATTTCCTAGGAATAAGAACGCTGCCCTCTGCTGACTGAAGTGCATCATAATTGCTGACCAGACCACAACAACATAAAATGACTTTAAAAACTGCATTTTTAAATGTATATTTAAACAAAAACCTAAATTAAACCATAATCTTCTTAAACAAACATTTATCTTTCAAACATAAATAGTCAGAATAAAATAAAACTGTATAACTGCCTCTGATGGCAGCTACACCCATCTGTGGCAGCGGAGCATTATCTAGTCACGAGTCTGTCAGAGGCTTAAGTTCAGAACCTCATGACTATAGCCTCTTCAGCAAGCTCCCTTGTGACATTTGATATTGCACAAGCAGATGCACAGTTCAGGTTAGTGCAGAGACGGAAGGTGGCTTTGGACCACAGCAGGTGAAATGTTCCTAAGAAATTGTTTAATTGCATTGTTTGTGTTACTGGGGAACTCTGGACAGCTTGTTTGGACTAAATGTTAATTAAAAATAATCATAATTTAATGTTTATTTATTATTGTAAAAATGAGTGACAGGAAAAAACGGATAATGCCACAACTGACTGTGAGCAAACGCATCCTCTTGAGTGTGTCCAAACGCGGCAGCAATTCAAGACGTCTCTCCCTTGCCCTGCCTCCAACACAAGGCCGGATTAACCATATGGGCAACTGGGCAATTGCCCAGGGCCCACGAACTCTAAGGGGCCCAGGGCAGCAAGCGCACGAGCAAAATACTGTAGGCATATCTGTAATCTCCCGCATTATATTAAACTAGGGTGACCGTATGTCCGGTTTTCCCCGGACATGTCTACTTTTCACTCTCTGTCCGGGCGTCCGGACTGGGGGTCCGCGGTCGTATTGATGAAAATGTCCGGCTTTTCATCCAGGAGCAGGGATCGAATTATGGGGGAGCTGTATATCTTACACATCCAGGGGAGCCGGAAACAAATTTTCTATCTATATTTCATCATTTATGGACTCTTCTGAGCAGAGAGCACAGAGAGCGGCACAGCGCGTTCTTGCGCAGCGCTCCAGGCAGCTGCTTCCAGCGCACGGTCCTTTCTCAAAGTGGCGCAACCAAAAAACTATAATTAGCACACGATCATTCATGTCCGCACATATTCTCTATTTTCTGTCTTATTTGTGCCTGAAGCGCTCTGCTGCTGCGCAGCTCATCACCTGTGCTGCGGTGATTTCACCTCACTGACGCAGCATTGAAAGGCGCACTCCGCTTTGTGGTCAGGAGATCCCTTTGATCTGCTCAAAAGTAACTGATGTGGTGAAAAAGTAAGAATCCAGGCAGCAGTTTTTTCTGGAGAGTTTAGAGGAGATGCAGGAAGATGAGAGACAGACAGGACAGGAAAATAGTTAAATAAAAACAAGAAAACAAAACAAATTGTTGAAAAGTAAAATGTAGATTTATCTCCACTACACGTTTTTACCTGTATAAAACAATAAGTTACACACATGTAATATTTATACATCTGATACAGTTCAGATCACCTTCAAAACTCAGTCACACACCCAGGGCCGTTTCAAGACATTTTGGGGGCCAAGGCAAAATGACCCCACCCACCCCCACCCCCCACCCCATAACTGGGCTCCCCAGAAGCCTCTGTGTAATTCTTACCCTCTCCAGGAGTATTAGTTATACAGTGTTTATAAAAGCCCCTCAGACATTACTGACATGTTCAAATGTTATCAGATGAAAAACTAAATTATCAGACATGCTGTCTCATCTGCTTCTTTTCTAAACTTGCAAAAAACAAAACCATTTGAAGGCCACTATTTGTGGATTCTCTGAAAGTTTCCATGGCGTGTGTGACAACTTATGTTTTCATTGATCCTATCGTCTAATCTCACAGCTGAAACAAGCATCCTTAATAATCTGTGCACAGGAAGCGTACCGATGCTGTAGTAAAACAAAAGGTATAATAATTTATTATTAATACAACCTTGTTGCAGCACTAAAGCAGAAAAATTAGATTTTGCAATACATATGCTAAATATTTACATATGAATTGTTTTAGAGCCCTTTTATTGGTAGAATCTGATATTAATTTAGTTCTTACAAAAAAATGGGTCCCAGCATGGTTTGTGTGGTGTTGCCATAGTGTGCCGTCATAGGCACATATCCCCTGTCCTCTTGTTTGGAAATGGAAATATGATCACCCTATATTAAACAAACTGTCCACCCGGGCTTTTGCGCTGCACAGAGACGCTTCGCTGCCTATGACTTTGAACGTCAGTTGAGAGTCAGTCTCGTGCAGACTGACCATTGAAGAGAGGGCCTCAAGTTAAGACCCTCTCCTCATTGGTCAGTCCACACAAGATGGGTCAAAGGTTATCCTGAGCGGGTTACGTGATGTCAAGCATTCAAGCATTGAGTATATTTACTGCATATTACAGAAAAATATTCTGTATGTGACCATATTATGGTGATCCTTGGGTCGTGATGATGGGGCCCTTGAATATTGTTGCCCAGGGTACAACGAAGTCTTAATCTGGCCCTGCTCCAACATGCCTCCATCTAAAAGGCTAGGTTATCCAGAGTTATCTCTGTAGTTATGCTGCTATAGGCTTAGACTGCTGGAGGATACACTGACCACTTTTCACACTCTACTACTTTCTTCTACTATCTGCTCTTTAACTGTATTATTTCCTGCTATTTCAGCTGTTAACTTTATTTTTTCTCTAAGTGTTTTTCTCCCCAGAAGAAGCTACAATGATGTTCTGCTGAGCTGTGGTGGCCTCATGGAGGGGGCCATCGTCTAGCACACTGCTGCTAACCACTTAAACATTCTCCCTCTCCTGATGATAACTTTTTGCTTTCTTTGACATTGAATGTGCTACTACTAGTTTACCCGTTTAATTATAGATTCACTAGGATAAATACAATAAAGTTTATCTCTCACCAAATAGAATATTTACTAAGAAATCACAATGTAACCATAGACACATTGCTTGGTGTGTGTGTGTGTCTACTCTGTCTTCTCAATCCCCAGTGAGTCGTGGAGGATGGCTGCTTATACTGAGCCAGTATCCTCTGGAGGTTTCTTCCTGTTAAAAGGGAGTTTTCCTCTCCACTTTCGCTATATGCTTGCTTAGTATGAGGACTGCTGTAAAGTCACTGACACTAGTCAGTGACGTGATGCAATTTGCTGGGTTCCTTACAGTATATAGGAAACATTTTTTTCTGATTGGCTTAATGAACTGACCTGAATTGGAATGTTTATTATGTGAAGTGCCTTGAGATGACTCTTGTGATTTGGCGCTATATAAATAAACTTGAATTGAATTCCATTTCCTACTCAAACCCAAAAGAAAGAAATGCAATATTCTATGTTCAGAAATCAAAAAAACATTTTTTTATTAAATATCCCACTGGTGCTCACTGCAGAAAAACAAAAATGAAGCTTCTTTTAACACTATAACCGTGTTAAATACGGGCCATTGATATAACAATATCTGACCTGCACTTGTATAGAGCCTTTCAGAGTCAGAGGACTCCTCAGCGCGTTACACTAGTGTATCATTCATCCATTCACACACACATTCACACGACAATAGCAATGAGCTACAAAGAGCCACAACTGCCCCACTGACAGGCGATATGTTACCTCAACCAAACAAGCCCAAAATTAAACAAAAAGTTAAAATAAATATCTAAATTTTATTTTTACTAACTACCATATATGCTATGCTTTTATTTTTTTTTTAATCCATGTTTGGACACCTTCTGTGTTCGCAAATCTATAATTACATCACTCAAAAAGTTGCAAGTGCTAGTATACTGCACCTTCCATCGTCATTTATTGGGCTGACATTTGGAGGTTGGAAAAAATTATACTTTTTGTCAAAACTTAGTACCAGTAGGGCACCTTGTCGCTAAATCTGTGTTTGGTTTCCTGTGTGGACTTTAGTGTGCGTGTTTAAACTTATCTTATGACTGAATCTGTCTCCACAAACATCACACACAAAAGGTTTCTCTCCTGTGTGGACTCTCATGTGAGTGTTTAAATTAGTCTTTTGGTTAAATCCTTTTCCACAAAAATCACAGGCAAAAGGCTTCTGTCCCGTGTGGACACGTGTGTGTCTGTTTAAATGTGCTTTACAGATAAATTTTTGTCCACAAACCTTACAATCAAAAGGTTTCTGTCCTGTGTGGACATTCTTATGCCTGTTTAAACTTGACCTTCGGGTAAATCTTTTTTCACAAAGGTCACAACCAAAAGGTTTCAGTCCTGTGTGGACTCTCTTGTGCCTGCTTAAACTTGTCTTTTGGCCAAATCTTTGTCCACAGAGCCTACAAGAAAAAGGTTTCTGTCCTGTGTGGACTATCATGTGACTGATCAAATATGCCTCATGGCTAAATCTTTGTCCGCAAACATCACACAGAAAAGGTTTTTCTTTGGTGTGGATTTGCAAGTGTGAGTTTAAACTTGAGCTTTTACTAAATGTTTGTCCACAAACATCACATACGAAAGGATTCTCTCCTGTGTGGACTCTCATGTGACTGACCAAATGTGCTTTATGGCTAAATCTTTGTTCACAAACATCACACACAAAAGGTTTCTGACCTGTGTGGATTCTCATGTGACTGTTAAGTTTTGATTCATCGCTAAAAGAAAATCCACACTCATCACAGCTGAATGATTTTAGTTGTGTCTGGACTTTCCTGCATGAGTCTACATTTTGCTCCACCCCAACATCTTTCTTATTGCCCCAAAAGCCTGAAGACCTTATTGCTGAATAACTTTTCACTCTCACATGCTTCGGGAGAGACCACTTGTGGAGAACAGGTTTACCACACTCAGGGCAGCTTAAAGATTTGTTCACAGCCTTAACATCTGACTCAGAAGACTCGCTCTCATTCCATTCTTTTTCACTGTCTTCCGTTTCTGGTTCCGAGTCTGACAAGGATTTCAGCTGACAGTCACAACTGTTTCCGTCCTGGTCATCTTCATTCTCAGTGATTTCCGTCTCTGAAGAGGTGGAATCATCTTCATAAGGATTTAGATCTGGATTCTTGCTACTTTCTGTTCCTCCACAGTCCTCTCCACCACTTACTGCTTTCATGTGGTCAGAACAGCTGCCGGTTGGAAGATCTCCGTCTGTAGCCTGGTGCTGATCGAACTGTGACAACAGAACTTTGTCTTCATCCTCCTCACACTGACAAGACGCGGCATTATATGAAATCCTGGTGGCATAAGTCTCCATCATCTCATTAAGGGGCTCCTCCTCTTCCTCCTTTACGTTGAGGGTCTCCAGGTCCATCCGGCTCACACCAGGACTCAGTTCTTCAGGAGCCTCTTCTGTATTCAACACCATCTGCTGAACATCTACAGGGAACACTGAAACACAAAAAACATTACCTTAATGTTTAAACCAAGTATAATCTTCTTTACCTTACCAAAACAACAAACCTAAATGCAACAGCAACAAACTATAGCACTGTGAGATGTATGTTTGTTGTTTTGGCCTGGAGACCCTTAGATTCTCACTTTTCTCTGTTAACCTATGTATTTTTTACACCAAGCCAAGCAGGTTTATTTTTGTTTATATGTTTTGGGTATTACACCCTGTGTGCCTCCTAAACATTTGTAACAGTAGCACCAAAAGATGAATGTAATGTATGATTCTCAGTAGTCCAGGGCATGATAATCACAAAGGCTTATTTGGAAACAACTGGACTTATGTTGTTCTGTTGAAGATGCTTTGCCTTTCACATAAATGGTTTCTTTCACGCCTCTTTCGAGCCATCTGTCTTCACTGTCCAAAATGTGTGCATTGTCTTAACCCTCCCACTGTCCTAATGGGTGTGACCCCGCGAGGAAAGCTGGCCATTGAGCAGGGTTGATGGTTTATCCCTTGGGTTCATGTGGCTGGGGTGAGGAGTGAGCACCACCTAATTATTTCTCTGTGTTAAATCCTAACCTGCTTTATGAATTAACAATATATCGGCAAATGAACTAACTTTTATATATTTTATCTTTAAGGTAAAGCAGGCCCTCAGAGCTGTGACTGGTTCCCTGACCCTGACTGCTGACGTGCGGATTGGCCGTGCTACAAAGGCGTAGCTTGGTGTTTCCTGCCATTTTCTTAGCGAAGACTGGAACATGAAAAGCTTCAACCTTGCCACCATGCCTCTAGATGAGAGGCACACTGGTACAAATATAATGACTTGGATAGAAGAGGTTTTAGCTAAGTTTGAAATCCTGCCTGTTAAAATAAAAGCAGTAGTTCATGACAGTGGGTCAAATATGGTGGCAGCAATGAGACTGCTTGAAGAGAAACATGGATGGGCCTCTATCCGGTGTGCTGGACACACACTCCTGGACCTTGTGTGATTATTTAGCTGGATACATTTCATGTGAGCTCAAAGTTTTTTTTTGTTGTATTTTAGTTTTTAGTTGCGTACACCTGATCTGTTTGACATTGTAGCATTTGTATTAACATGTTGCAACAAGATTCATTAAAAGCAGTTTGATAAGCTATTGTCTTTATTATTAGATGGCACATAACTGATCACACATAGAATTAGAAGCTAATGATGGGTATATTAGAGCATCCTGGTGCAATAAGCTATACTTTTATGAATGACACGATTAGTCGTGATTAATCGTCACCAAACTGGCGACTTGTCGACTAATAAAATAGTCATTTGTGGCAGCCCTAGATTTCACATTCTATGGTTTCTTTGTAAGATGTAAACTCACAGCATTACAGTACTGAGGTTGTGGATCCACCCCCTGGCAAAAAAGTTAAATGCCTCAACTTTTAAATGCTTTCGTCTGTTGTTTACTGTTGAAGGACGCCTGAGGGACCAGGTAGCTCCATTTCAACAGCCTTGACTCTTGGTAAATCCCAAATTTCAGTTGAAAACTCACTCATTTTCATTACATACGGGTCACGTGACGTCCAGCATAATATGTGCACCTTTGTCTGGAAATTGGGTCTAAAACTGCGAAATACAGACTTTGCTCCATTGTCTATTTGTGCTTCCTGCTCACCAGTTGAAACTTTGTGTGTGATTGCTTTTGTCTGACTGAATGAGCAGCCAATCAGTAATTGAATCACCTGTGCAGCAGCTCATCAGGCTCTGCAGAAGCCTGTTAATCACCTGCTGATTGAAATCAGGTGTGTTGAAGCAGGGTTAAAACTAAAACCTACTGGACATTGGCCCTTGAGGCCTGGAATTGATTAGCCCTGGAAACTGGAAACTTCCAAAACAAAAGTCACGTGCATTATGTCATTTCCTGTGAACTTCTGTAACCAATGTAAACAGAACAGAAAACAACCCACAGACCTTTTGATGCATGCAGTTGTCTGTCTTCTGGTTTATTTTGTGTGGACTTCCGAAATCACGCGTGGTGTTGCAATCCTCCCGTGAGTTTGTGAGGTCACGGGACCAGCTGTGTGGAATGCTCTCACCCCCATTTCGTGTCAGAATTGCTCCCGGTTGGAAATGAGTTCGTAGATAAAACGCCGCAATTACGTTACGCGGCCGCTTTCACGGCCAGTGGAAAGCCGGGGTAAGATATTCTGCTGAAATGTGTCACTATAATAAATGAATCAAAATAAATCGGCCACTGGAAAAACACTATTATGAAATCAAATCTGAGTTTGTGAAAATAACATTATGTAATAAAAACAGAAATTATTTAATAAACATGCCTCAATAATAATTTGAATGATTATGGAAAAATTGCATCTAAAATAGTTTTATATTCATTTTAAACACATTTTAAAACCGTTGGACTATTTGTGTCGGACGTTTTGTTACATTAGGGACTTTAAGGTAGATCCCAGTGGATTATGTGCTCATTTTCATTTCTGATGATGAGTTTGATTTTATATGCTTTGTTGAAGAATGCGGTCATGTGACCTGCTGACTATGTGACATGGCACAGGTGTATTAATAAAGAGGCAGAGATGCCGGAAGAGCAGTCACTTAGAATGACAAAGACCATGTGTTTTTCTTCAAGTTAAACGCTGTGGTAATAGCAACCTACTAACAGGTTAAGGGGTCCAGGATTGGAAACACGAGTTGAGACGAGTATCTGAACTTGACGGAATGAACAGGAAAGAGAGAGATTCTGTGCCAAGTACCTGTTGGACAAGGTTTGTGTTTAATGGGGGTGAGAAAAATTCTGAGTTACGGGAGACAAAGTTTTTGGGCCACCCCTGTCTTCAAGAACTGAAAGATACGATCCTACATGAACCGGATCCTGACGATGACAGCAATGAAGTAAGGAATGCAGAGGCATACTCGGAGCTCATTCAGTTCCTGGATGACAAAAGCCTGTTGCTGATAATGCGCAAAGCAGCAGTTGATGGACGTGCGGTACTGAAAATTCTTTGGGAATACTACGCTGGTAAAGGAAAGCCAAGGATTATCAACATGTATATTGAGTTGACATCCCTACAAAAAGTCATCCACTGAGACCATCACAGAATATGTCATCAGAGCAGAAACAGCAATTACCACCCTGAGAAGTGCAGGTGAGGCGCTCAGCAATGAACTTTTGATAGCGATGGTTTTAAAAGGTATGCCTGACACGTTGAAGCGCATCAGCTTTGGAAGATAACGTGATGAAGGCAAGAGCGCGTGTTGGTTCAGAGTGCGTAAAAGCTGGTGCCAACAGTGAAACTACAGACATGTGTTACAAGTGTGGCAGCACAGGTCATAAAGCAGGGGTCCCCAATTCTGGTCCTGGTCATTTTCAGACTACACAATTGTCTAGGATTTACTTTTGTGATACATATTTCATAATGTAATATATATTTAATTAATTTTGAACACTTTGGAGTTCCATATAGGAGTGCTATCAGAAAGGCATACACTGTAAACTATACGTCGATGTGTAATATACGCTGTAAATTATACGTCCATGTGTAATATACGCTGTAATCTATATGTCGATGTGTAATATAAGCTCTAATCTATATGTCGATTGTGTAATATACGCTGTAATCTATATGTTGATGTGTAATATACGTATGCCATTCTGATCATGTATGTATGACAGAACACATCATGTTTTATTTGTTTCCCATCTGATTCAGCAGCTCACCGGGTTCTACAGAAGCATGTGAATCACCACTGATGCAAATCAAGTGTGTTGAAACAGGGAAACAACTAAAACATGGTGGATATGGCCCCTATCCCCTATCATTGGGGACATGTTTCAATGCTACGCTACAGACACGCCGGAAGAAGGTAAATCGTTAGGCAACCTGAATTTGATTGAAAATATAACGATATACAAACCCAACACGTCCAGCTGATCGTGCGGACTTTTCCCTCTGTTGCTCATTTTCCGTTAAACGTGAAAGCTCCTGCGGCTGATCTTTCTGAGTAAACCTCCCAGATTTCTCCTTCTGCTGCAGCCAGACGCGGTTTGACCTGCTGGCTCCACGTTTTTCTTTCACCTTTAACATTTACTGTGCTGTTAGAAGTTGGCACAACAAGTTTCAATAAGTTAAACCGCTTCTTTTTTTTAACCTTATAGTAAAAGAACTGTAAACACCATGCAGGTAAATCCCGAACGGAAGTTCCGTCTACGTTTTTCTTCCGTAACAGACCACAAGCTGACTGGAACCAAAAAGCAAGATTAAAGCTTGGATATAGCTACCGTAGACTTTTGACGTCTAAAAAACATACTATAAAAATAAAATGTCAGGAGAAAATTAAAGAAAAAAAATATATATATATATATATACATCAAGTCTAAAAAAATCAAATGGTAAATTAATTTAAATCAGAAAAACAGTCGTAAAATTATAAAACACCATAAAACATGATTACAAATTTGAGTTAAAAATAAGAAAATAAAAGGTGTAGGTAAAATCAGCTTTAAATAAAAGGGTATTCAGCTGTTTTTTAAAAGTGCCCAGACTGTCAATGCTACCTTAGGATAAAGGAAGATCATTCCAAAGTTGGAGTGCAACACTCTGGAAGAGGCGATCACCATGACTTTTATATCTGGTCTTTGGAACTTCTAGAAGGTTCTGGTGGGTGGACCTGAGGGCTGGGTTGGAGCATAAGGCTTTAATAATTCAGTAATACTGTATAAGGAGGAGTTTGACCATGTAGCATGGAAAGTTATAGTCAGGATTCTAAAATGAACTCTAAAGTTACCGGGTAACCAGAGCAGACACATCAGAATAGGAATGATGTGTGCTCTTCTGTTTTCTCAAGTTAGGAGTCTTGCTGCAGAGTTCTGGACAAACTGAAGGCGGTCCAGGGATTATTTTGTTAAAACATGTAAAGTGTGTTACAGTCATCTAGACGGGACGAGATAAAGGCATGGATAACCATTTCAGGTTCATGTTTTGACATCAACCTTTGCAGTTTGGAGATATTTCTTAAGTGATAAAAATAGTTTCGGACCAATGTTTTTGAGTGAACGTCAAGAGACATTGATTGGTCAAAAACAACATCCAAATTCCTCAAGTTTGACGGCAGAAGATAAACGACCAAGTTGTGGACTAATCAGGGGAACCATGCTCTCAGGGGAAATGATCAGACATTCAATCTTTTCAGAGTTTAACTGAAGGAAGTTATCTACTAGCCAGCTGGTGATAGCTGATAGACACTCTAGTAATTCAGACATTTTATACAACTCAGAATCCCTAAAGGAGCAGTACAGCTGAATGTCATCTGCATATAGGTGATAAGAGACATTATGAAAAGAATCAGTTTTCTGTTCAAGAGTACAGTAGAAACAACAGTGCACCCAAAACAGAGCTTTGGGGTACCCCACAGAACAGATTAGTAGAATCTGACTTGATTTGGTTTATACAGACACTGTAGCTTCTGTTAGAATGGTACGATTTAAACCAGTCTAGAACAGTTCCAAAGATCCCCATCAAGTCACGAAGTCTGTTAATTAAGGTGCTGTGATCAAGAGTGTCAAAAGCTGCAGAAAGATCTAATACTACCAAGACTGTAAAGACTGTTGTATTACAACTGGGAAATTCAGGTGTACCAGCAGCCAGATGGAGGTAAATGTAAGCATGCATATTCACACAAACATAAAAAGGATAAACTCAGAATTATAAGAATGAAAAACAACACAGTAAGGATTGTTGCAAAATAATCACCATGATAATAAATCTGACCACAAAGCAACAGAAAATTAACCAGCAAATTTAAGAGAAAAGAATGACTTTATAGTTATTTTCTTAAATATTTTCAGATACCAAGTCTCCAATCTTGAGATGTTCCTATAGATTTAAATATTTAGCCTTCCATAACTTTAAGTAATGCGTCCCCATTTGTCCATCATACTGTAGATATTAAAACCTCCTCTGAATAAATTTTACTAGTTTATACAATTTAATTAGGAAATGATTTCGTTTGTCCCAATTATCAGCAACATTTTCTTGTGAAATGTAATTCTTAATGTTAAAACGCCCGCTGAATGTTCCAATCCGTGAAAAAAAAACATTTAACATTCTCACATTCTCAATTCAAAAAACAACCATTTGGACCAACCCAGATACTCTATGAAAAAATGGGGTCCTTAATTTTTCTGTGTGGAATAGTAAAGAGATTAACCACTTAGAGCAGGGGTGTCAAACTCAAATTAACACTGGGTTGAAACAAAAAACTGGGAGAAAGTCGAGGGCCAAACTCAATATTTATTTAAAATTTACAAATATACATTTTCTTTTATCCAGATATGTACTGTTTGAACTTTTTGCATAAACACTGAATCTGGAACAACCAAATTACCCACAAGCAAGTCAATTTGAAATAAAACACACGTCAGTGGTATTCTTTACTCAGTATGTCACACATTCCTTTACATGTTAATTCCTTAATATGTGTGTATAGCACTGTGAATGTTTCATCTTTGAATTTTATGTTTTCTTGTTGTTTGTTCTTTTTTTTACTCTCCATTTTTGTTCCTGTAATGAATGTCATTGCTGCTGTGAAACTAAAATCTCCCCACTGAGGGACAATAAAGGGATTTTCAATTCTATTCTTCGATCTGTAGCCTTTCAAGTTTCTGTTTTACTGCAGGTTAAATCCTTTTTCACAGCAGGGTGGCTGGGCTCTCCCTTAGAGATAGAGCGAGAAGCTTGGTCCTCCGGGAGGGGCTTGAAGTGGATCCGCTGCTCCTCCACATCGAGAGGAGCCAGTTGAGGTGGCTCGGGCATCTGGTCAATATGCCTCCTGGACGCCTCCCTAGTGAGCTTTTCCGGGCACGTCCAACCGGGAGGAGGCCTAAAGGGAGGGAGACCCAGGACACGCAGGAGGGACTATGTCTCTCACCTGGCCAGGGAATGCCTTGGGATTCCCCCGGAGGAGCTGGCCCAAGTGGCTGGGGAGAAGGAAGTCTGGGCCTCTCGACAGGCTACTGCCCCCGTGACTTGACTCTGAATAAGCGGATAAAGATGGATGGATGGATGGATGGATGGATGGATCATGCCACCCCTGGCTGCAAGCAAATGCAGCAGCAATTCATTCAATATCCTACTCAGTCATAAAAGAAAAAAATGCAGTTGTTTACGTTCAGAAAAATACATTTTTTTAAATGCAAAAGATGAGGCTTCTTTTAACTCTATAGCAATGTTTAATACAGGCCCAAACAACTACAAAATAAAACAAAAAGGAAAAAAAAATTCTAAATGTCTTCCAGTGAACATACAGTGGGGCAAAAAAGAATTTAGTCAGCCACCGATCGTGCAAGTTCTCCCACTTAAAATGATGACAGAGGTCAGTAATTTTTATCATAGGTACACATCAACTGTGAGAGACAGAATGTGAAAAAATATTCATGAATTCACATGGCAGGATTTTTAAAGAATTTATTTGTAAATCAGGGTGGAAAATAAGTATTTGGTCAATAACAAAAATTCAACTCAATACTTTGTAACATAACCTTTTTTGGCAATAACAGAGGTCAAACGATTACTATAGGTCTTTACCAGGTTTGCACACACAGTAGCTGGTATTTTGGCCCATTCCTCCATGCAGATCTTCTCGAGAGCAGTGATGTTTTGGGGCTGTCGCTGAGCAACACAGAATTTCAACTCCCTCCACAGATTTTCTATGGGGTTGAGGTCTGGAGACTGGCTAGGCCACTCCAGGACTTTCAAATGCTTCTTACGGAGCCACACCTTTGTTTCCCGGGTGGTGTGTTTGGGATCATTGTCATGTTGGAAGACCCAGCCACGTTTCATCTTCAAAGCTCTCACTGATGGAAGGAGGTTTTGGTTCAGAATCTCACGATACATGGCCCCATTCATTCTGTCCTAAACACGGATCAGTCGTCCTGTCCCCTTAGCAGAAAAACAGCCCCAAAGCATGATGTTCCCACCCCCATGCTTCACAGTAGGTATGGTGTTCTTGGGATGAAACTCAGTATTCTTCTTCCTTCAAACACGACGAGTTGAGTTTATACCAAAAAGTTCTACTTTGGTTTCATCTGACCACATGACATTCTCCCAATCCTCTGCTGTATCATCCATGTGCTCTCTGGCAAACTTCAGACGGGCCTGGACATGCACTGGCTTCAGCAGCGGAACACGTCTGGCACTGCAGGATTTGATTCCCTGCCGTTGTAGTGTGTTACTGATGGTGACCTTTGTTACTGTGGTCCCAGCTCTCTGCAGGTCATTCACCAGGTCCCCCCCGTGTGGTTCTGGGATTCTTGCTCACCGTTCTCATGATCATTTTGACCCCACGGGATGAGATCTTGCGTGGAGCCCCAGATCGAGGGAGATTATCAGTGGTCTTGTATGTCTTCCATTTTCTGATAATTGCTCCCACAGTTGATTTTTTTCACACCAAGCTGCTTGCCTATTGTAGATTCACTCTTCCCAGTCTGATGCAGGTCTACAATTCTTTGCCTGGTGTCCTTCGAAAGCTCTTTGGTCTTGGCCATAGTGGAGTTTGGAGTCTGACTGTTTGAGGCTGTGGACAGGTGTCTTTTATACAGATAATGAGTTCTAACAGGTGCCATTAATACAGGTAACGAGTGGAGGACAGAAAAGCTTCTTAAAGAAGACGTTACAGGTCTGTGAGAGCCAGACATTTTCCTTGTTTGAAGTGACCAAATACTTATTTTCCACCCTGATTTACAAATAAATTCTTTAAAAATCCTGCCATGTGAATTCATGGATTGTTTTTCACATTCTGTCTCTCACAGCTGAAGTGTACCTATGATGAAAATTACTGACCTCTGTCATCATTTTAAGTGGGAGAACTTGTACAATCGGTGGCTGACTAAATACTTTTTTGCCCCACTGTTTGTGCTGTGCTTACGTTAAAGAAATCCATCTATGGACTTCTGTGTTATCAAACCAGTCTGTGCATGATTACCGATGAGCGAATGTACTGTCCATGTCATTTAAGGGACTGACAATTGGAGGTTGGATAAACTATACATATCATTATATAAACTAGTGCCAGTAGGGTACCTCGTAGTTAAATCTGTGTTTTGTTTCCTGTGTGGACTCTGGTGTGTGTGTTTAAACTTACCTTATGACTGAATCTGTCTCCACAAACATCACACACAAAAGGTTTCAGTCCTGTGTGAACTCTCATGTGGGTTTTTAAATTTGTCTTTTGGCTAAATCCTTTTCCACAAACATCACATGCAAAAGGTTTCTGTCCCGTGTGGACACTTGTGTGTCTGTTTAAATGTGCCTTATAGATAAACTTTTGTCCACAGACCTTACAATCAAAAGGTTTCTGTCCGGTGTGGACTATCATATGCCTAATTACACTTGACTGTCGGCTAAACCTTTTTTCACAAAGTTCACAAACAAAAGGTTTCTGTTCTGTGTGGACGCTCATGTGCCTGTTTAAATGTGTTTTTTGGCTAAATCTTTGCTCACAGAGCTCACAAGAAAATGGTTTCTGCCCTGTGTGGACTCTAATGTGACTGATCAAATTTGACTTATGGCTAAATCTTTGTCCACAAATGTCACACATAAAAGGTTTATGTTCTGTGTGGATTCTCATGTGACTGTTATGTTTTGATTCATCGCTAAAAGAAAATCCACAATCATCACAGCTAAATGATTTTAGTTGTGCTCGGACACACGAGTCTACAGCTTGCTTCACCCCAACACCTTTCTTACTGCCCCAACAGCTTGAGGAACTCGTTGCTGAAGGTCTTAAAAATTTCACAGGTTTCTGGAGAGACCACTTGTGGAGAACAGGTTTACCACACTCAGGGCAGATTAAAGATTTGTTCACAGCCTTAACATCTGACTCAGAAGACTTGCTCTCATTCCATTCTTTTTCACTGTCTTCAGTTACTGATTCAGAATCTGAAAATGGTTTCAGCTGACAGTCACAACTTGTCCCATCCTGGTCATTTTTGTTTTCCATCTCTGAAGAGGAGGAATCATCTTCATAAGGATTTAGATCTGGATTACTGCTACTTTCTGCTCCTCCACAGTTCTTTCCACCACTTTCTGCTTTCATGTGGTCAGGACAGCTGCTGATTGGAAGATCTCTGTCTGTAGACTGGTGCGGATCGAACTGTGACAACAGAACCTTATCTTCATCCTCCTCACACTGACAAGAACCTGCAGTGGATGAAATGCTGGTGGCACATGACTCCATTGTCTCGTTAGGTGGCTCCTCCTCTTCCTTCTTCACGTTGAGGTTCTCCAGGTCCATCTGGCTCACACCAGGACTTAGTTCTTCAGAAGCTGGTTCTTTATTCAAAACCATCTGCTGGACATCTACAGGGAACACTGAAACACAAAAATGTCAAAGTACATTAGTTGTTACACACTGGTGAATTATTTTCTCCAATTTTGTCCTATCCCCTTGGGAAGCGGTGAGTTGCAAATAAGACCGTGCTCGGGAATTATTTGGTGGTTTGACACAGCAATCAAATCCCTTGTTGTGGAGTTTCAATAGGGGAGGCATTGGGTCCCATTGTTAAAGTCTATGGTATGACCTGGCCATGGATTTAAACCCACGATCTCCCAGTCTCAGGGCGGACACTCATTCCACTAGCCTAGGCCACTGGGGTGACAATGTTTGTTGTTTAGGCCTTGAGACCATAAATATTATCACTTTTCTTGTCCAGGTGTTGTAGTCTTTGCACAGGACCAGTTCCAATGTGTTCTACATGCTAAGAAAATGCAGAAAATGGCTTATAGGGACCCTAAGACACACCTATCTACTTCCAGACCATGGGTCCCCAGAAGAACAAAAAAAATGTATGCAAGTCAATGGGGTTACAAAATTTATTTTCTAATTCCGCTTGTTATGTGCTATGGATTGCTCATATGATGTCCGTGTATTTTAAAGACACATTCTGAGGCCAAGAAAATGCATATTTTTAAACAGGGCAAAGTTTTTTTCTTTTTTGTGGTTTTGTGAGACAATATGTCAAGGAATAATTCCGAGCATCACCAAAGCGTCGTCATTGAACCAGACACAGAAACGAGCAGAGAACATGGCTGCAAGTTAGAGAGGTTTGATTCCTTCTTTCAGAATGAAAGAACCACCATAAATCTGGCCATGTGGTTAGTAGCAGCTACGTTGGAGGGGGGGGGGGGGGGGGGGCATTATGTGGTGACGTCATATACAGTGCTCAGCATAAATGAGTGCACCCCACTACATTTGTCAGAAAACCTTTAGTTTCCTTTCAGAATCAACATTTTCTATGAGTCAACATTCTACAAGTTACTCCCACAAATGTGGAATGTTGATTACAAACAAGATTTGTTCATTTGCATATGCAAAAAGTGATTTTCCTAGCAAATCCACTCAAGCCCGTGCTGCAAAAATGAATACACCTCAATTATAGTCTCAGGATAAAGGCCACACTTAAGACTACAAAATTTTAATTAACAGGCTTTCAACCATAGGTGAGTCCAATGGTTCATTTAAGAGGTGTCCAGCAGACAGGGTATTACTTAACAAAGGAAAGCCATTCCCATTTCATGTTGTCAGCAATGGCTCCACATGGAATAGAAATGTCTCAAAATCTGCATGAGAAAGGAATCATTTCTTTACACAAAAAGGTGAGGGCTACAAGAAGTTCAGCAAAGCTTTACACATCAGTCAGAATACTGTAGCAACAGTGATTCAAATATTTAAGAAAGACGAAAGTGCACCCATCTTACAGAGATGTCCAGGCCATCCACAGAAGTTAGCATCTCCACAGGAGCATCTTCTGATGAGAAGGGTTGAAGAAAATCTCCATGCAAGTTAACTGCAGTTAGCAAAAGCAGTAGAAAGCCAAACTGGAGGGACCATTTACCGTGACACTATACAGTGCACACTGCAGAGGAATGGCATGCATGAGTATCGTCCATGAAGGAAGCCTTTCCTAAAGCCCATGCACAAAAAGCACACATAGGACTAGCCCCTAGCTAGAAAGAGATGAAGACTACTGGAACTCTAGACTCTGGAGTGATGAGACAAAGATCACCGTTGTTGGAACTAATGGTTTCTAAACTGTATGGCAACCTAAAGGTGAGGATTTCAAAGAGAAATGCATGGTGCTTACAGTGAAGCATGGTGGTGGCGGTGTCATTATGTGGGTCTGCATTAGTGCTGCTGGCGTTGGGAAGCTGCATTTCACTGATGGTATCATGAACTCAACAATGCACTGCTCTATACTGAAGGAGAAGATGCTGACATCACTCCGTACACTTGGTCATCGTGCACATTTCCAACACAACAACGATCCAAAACACACATCTAAAGCTACTGCTGCATTTCTGAAGAACAACAGGGTGAAGGTGATTGAATGACCAAGTATGTCTCCTGATCTGAACCCAATCCAACACCTGTGGGGAATTCTGAAGCAGCAAGTTGAGCATCACTCTCCATCCAGCATCCAGGATCTATAAGAGGTTCTTCTTGAAGAATGGAAGAAGATAGATGTTGTAATATGTCGCCAACTTGTTCATTCCATGTCTAGAAGACTTGGTGCATCACCGAGGTCATACAAAATACTAGATGTAGTGGTTTTTGTTGTGGGGTGTATTTACGTTGAGGGTTTTTCCTGCGTTCAACTTTGCGTGTCGGCCACCTCCAGCTATTTTTGTGCCACCCCAGCCTGATTTCACTCTGCCCCCAGCTATTTGGATGTTATTTTAAAAGCAGATGCAGCGTTGCGCTGTTGCGATGTTCTGATGGGAATCTGTTCTTGATTGATTTAGCTACCTCCTTGATGTGCGTCATGATTAAAATGTCAGCGCATCTGCAGGCTTGAGGTTTCTCCCTCAAAATGAACTGTCAAATACAAGAAATATCCGGTCAAGGCGAACCCTGTCATTGAACTGTTCTGCCTTCTTGTGAAGATTGTTGCAACAAGAAACAGACTTGTTTAGCCCACTGCGTCATTATCTCCATCACTGTAGACGAGGGAAAAAAATTAACGAATTGATCGGAACTTTTTCTTACCTTTTACACATTGTTTAATGTAAACTTTTGTTCTGTACAAAGTTTAATTACAACAATCCAACAGACAGAGCCTGGATTATTATTCTGAACAGTTTAAACATGTTTTAAAAGGAGACGCGTAAGACGTGTCAAAAAGCATCCCCTGCTCAGGCCCTTTAGGCCCACCCACAACGCCGCGGCTGCTGTGGCTCCCAACGTTTTCTTTACTGTGGGAAACGGGTAATAATGGCTCCTTGATTGGAAAAGGTTGCCAACCTCTGCGCTAGTTGGTACATATCCATGGTTGGTGCTATTGTAGGGTGACCATGTGTCCTCTTTCCCCCGGACATGTCCACTTTTCACTCTCTGTCCGGGGGGGTTCCTACATGGATCAAAATGTCCGGTTTTTCATCCAGGAGCAGGGATTGTTAGGGGGGGCTAGATATCATTCAGGGAAAGATCCAGTTTCTACATATATTACAATATTTATGGACTCTCAGCGTAGCGGGATTCTGTTGAGCGGAGATGACGCAGAGTGCTGATGGTTGGTGAGCCCGCTGCGTCCGGCGCACGACACATTCTCAAGGTGGCGCAACAAAACCTTATTATTAACACATGATCGTTCATATCTGTTTAACTCCTCTGGTACTCTGTCTTTTAACCGTTCCTGACGGCTCCGCTCATCGTGTGCTGCGGTGATTTCACCTAAATGACGCAGCATCGAAACGCGCACTCCGCTTTGCGGTCAGGAGATCCCTTTTATCAGCTTAGTTCAAAAGTAACTGATGAGGTGAAAAAGTAAGAATCCAGGCAGCAGTTTTTCTGGAGAGTTTAGAGGAGACGCAGGAAGATGAGACAGACAGGACAGGAAAATAGTTAAATAAAAACAAGAAAACAAAGCTTGAAAGTCAAATGTAGGTAGATTTATCTCCACTACACGTTTTTACATGTATAAAACAATAAGTTATACACATGTAATATTTATACATCTGACACAATTCAGATCACCTTCAAAACTTAGTCACACACCCAGGGCCGTTTCAAGGCATTTTGGGGGCCAAGGCAAACTGAACACCCCCCTATCCCTAACCCGTACATAATAGACATGCCACCATTACATTGTTAGCAGCAGAAATAAACTGTTATTACCATTTCCAACACAAATGCAAGTTAATGAAATGCATTATATTTTACTGGAAATATTTATGTGTTACTTTGACTAAGATGAGTGTTATTAATACAAACCTAAAATGTTACTGAAATGTTGGTCAAATATTAAATAATATTTTAACTATAAATATCAGATGGGAAAAGGGAACTAAACAGCAATCTAATGCATATTATTGAGCCTTTAATAATATGTTGCCTTTAAAAAAGTGAGGCAGTTGAATGCACAGAGTATGCATGTGCTGGTGCATGGTCAGGATGGTACCACCTCTGCCTCACTTTGAGCCAGGAAAAACCCTGTATTACTTCGACCAATTTTAGTAAAACTGAAGATTTTGTGATCCAAGTTATATTATTACCTTAAATTCATGTTATGAAGTTAAATAAGTGTTCAGTAAAACCCAGGCTTGTGAACATTCTGGACATTGTTCTTTTGTTCATTGAGCTGTTGATTAAATTTGTACTTTTTTAAAGGGGGTGTACTCATTTATGCTGAACACTGTATGCAACGTGCTGATGTCAGATATGTGGTCCTAGGAAATAAAAAAAATGTACAAGCTGATGAATCTCGAAGTGTGTGGCAGGCGTGGTCGGAACACACTTCATTACATTTTATTTAAATTAAAGTACAACATATGTGATTCAGAGCATGAGGCAAAGCGGATTAGAAAATAGCTTTTTTAGCCACATTAACTTGCATTCATTATTTCATTCTTCTGGGGACCCGTGAGCCGAAAGGGAGGACACTTCTCTATTTTGAATTTTCACAAATCACAAAATAGGTTCTAAGGAACCCACTTCTAGTCTAGAATAATCTAGTCTAAGTTTTAAGATTCCAGGTGTTGTAGTTTTTGATCTGGACCAGTTTCAATGTGGTGTATATGCAAAAAATAAAATAAAATAATAGCAGATTGCTGCTTTTTTTAAAGTTTCATAAATCATAAACTAAGTTTGAAGGAACCTGCTATTAGTCTAAAGTAATCCAGTCCAGGTTTTGTAGTTTTTGCACGAGATCAGTTCCAAAGTGGTCTGTGCTTAAAAAAATGCAGAAATCTGCCATATTTTAAGTTTCTCAAATCAGATTAAGCTGGTTTCACTAATCACAAACTATGTTTTATGGAATCTGTTATTAATCTAGAATAATTTAATATATGTTTAAAGAGTCTGAGTGTTGTAGTTTTAAAGATTACAACTAAAGAGTTGATTAAAATGCTTAGGGAGCGGGAAAATTGGGAGGAATTACATTTCAAAACAGAAACCAGAAAATGGGAAGCAACTAGCTTCGTAAGCAGATCAGAATAAAAAACTTCATAACCTCATTCACTTACATTCAGTGCTTTCTTCGTTCAGGGGACCCATGGGCCGAACCCTGCGGGAAAACCTAGCCTGGCAAGCCTATGAACATATTTAAGCTGAGCTACAGTCGCACGGGAAAAAGCTAAATTATTTAGCAACCTGAAAACTGTCACTAACTTCATCCCATTTGATTGGAAAAATAAAAACATACAAACCCAGTATGTCCAGCTGATTACAGGATCTTTACTTTTTCGTCCTTTGCTTATTTTCCGTGAAAAGCTTTTTTATTTTTCATTTTACGTGAAAGCTCCTGTTAAAGAGTCTGCAGCTGATCTTTCAGTCTCTCAGATTTCTCCCTCTGCTGCATCCAGTCGCTGTTTGACCTGCTGGCTCCACGTTTTTAATATTCACCATTAACATTTAGTGTGCTGTTAGAAGTGGGCATAACATGTTTCAATTAGTTTATCAGCTTCTTTTTTCAACCTCAGCAAAAGAACAGTAAACAACATCCCAGACGGAAGTTCCGTCTTTTTCTTCTTCCGTCACGGAACACAATCTGACTGGAACTAAAATCAAGACACACACCTGTACAGTACCAATAAAACGTCAAGAAAAATGTAAAGAAAATAGAAACAAGAAATATATTAAAACTGTTTAAAAATCAAAATATTTTACACGTTTTATAGGCTATTTTGTGCTATAAAACGTTGTCCCTGTTGAGATAGAATAGAATAAAATAAAATAGAATAGAATAGAGATACACACACCCTCTCTCTTTGTCTTTAATTTATTTTATTTTATTTCCTTTCACTGCTGACCTTTAGTTCTACTTATCCCTATGGACTAAGGTGTTGAGTAGAAGATGTAGTAACAACATTTTGCCACAAAGGGGCACAACGAACGCAGCCAGCGAGTACTGCTGACTCAGCGGTTCAACAGTTATTCAGTGCTGTTTGACTAGAAGAAGACGCTGCTCATTGCGCTCACGTCTGTGTTAACAGCCAAAACGGAATAAAACCCGCAACAAAACACACTGACTATGTATTCATGTGTGCAACTATAGAATAGAATAGAATAGAACAGTGTGGAAATGTTGGTGTAACAGCAGCAAAACAGATTCACAGTAGGCTATAAAGTAAAATCAGACACAGAATAATAAAAGACAACAACAAACAAAAAACATGTATTAGAAAAAATATTGAATTTACCACACTTAATTCTAATTTAATAGAATATTTACTAAGAAATCACAATGTAGTCATATTGTGTGTGTGTGTGTGTGTGTGTGTGTGTGTGTGTGTGTGTGTGTGTGTGTGTGTGTGTGTGTGTGTGTGTGTGTGTGTGTGTGTGTGTGTGTGTGTGTGTGTGTGTGTGTGTGTGTGTGTGTGTGTGTGTGTGTGTGTGTGCTGTCTTCTCCATCCGCAGTGAGTCGTGGAGGATGGCTGCTTATACTGAGCCAGGATCCTCTGGAGGTTTCTTCCTGTTAAAAGGGAGTTTTCCTCTCCACTGTCGTGAAATGTTTACTTAGTATGAGGATTGCTGTAAAGACTCTGACACTAGTCAGTGACTTGATGCAATTTGCCAGGTTCCTTATTTAGAAAACTTTTACTGATTGGCTTAATGAACTGACCTGTATTGGAATGCTTACTATGTGAAGTGCCTTGAGACGACTCTTGTTGTGATTTGGCGCTATATACATAAACTTGAATTGAACTGAATAAAATAAAGTAGCAGAATATTGACAGGGAGTGAGAACATAAATGGAAAACTGTGCAAATGTTCTCATTGTGCACAGGTACATTTTACACAAAACGTGGACTTTGGACGTGACTTTGTGGATGATACAACAGTGGTGTCAGCGTACAGAGAAGAAGTGCAGCAGCTAGTGGACAGCTAACAACCTGACCCTGAACACCAACAAAACCAAAGAAATCATTGATCCAAGAAGGAAAAGGGTGGAGCACCAGTCATTCACAATAAATTGAGAGTAGGTGGACAGGGTGTCACAGTTCTAGTTCCTGGGCACAAACATATCAGAGGACCTCACATGGACACACAACACCAAATGTCTAATAAAGATGGCACAACAAAATATACTTCCTGAGGGCTCTCAGAAAGATCAACCTCCCACAAAAACTGTTGGCGTCGTTTTATCCCTGCTCCATAGAGCGTCCTGACCAACAGCATCCTGATGTGGTACAGCAGCAGCTCTGCAGCTGACAGGAAGGCCCTGCAGGGAGTAATCCAAACTGCACAGAACATAGCAAACACAAACCTGTCTGTCCTGGATAACATCTTCACCACTCGCTGCCTTTGAAAATCCACAAACATCCTAAAGGACTCAACCCACCCTGCTAATCATCTCTTCACACGTCCTCCATCTGGCAAACAATGCAGGGCAACAAAAACATGCAACACCAGGCTGCTAAACAGCTTTTATCCTAGAGCCATCACTGAACTGAATGTTGCAGCTAGAAGGTCTCGCTAACAGTGGTTCTGCTGGAAAATTAGTGCACTACAGCAACTTTACATTTTGCTGGTTCATCCTGGCACATGTGACGGTCTACACTTATATGTTTACCTTATATTTCAGTTTATGTTTTAGATTAGTCTAATTACCATGTTAACATTTGTGCACCCTAAACTGACTGTGTGTGTGTGCGTGACATCAAACTCTGGGAAAAAGGTCAAGACAAAATTTCAATTTTGGGTGGCATATCCCTTTAAGAGTAGTGGAAAAAGTACCAAGTAAGGCCGTTTGTAGGCATTTGGGCACCAAAAATCATGTTGCATGAAGGAGATGAGGATACACAAGACACATGAAAAGACACTTTGTAGAAACAAATACGCAAACCTTCCTTATTATGCCGATGGCTTGTAGATTTTTTTTTATAGCCAACATGCATTTTCCAGCCCAGCCTCTCATCAATTTCAATTCCAAGAAATTTGTAGTTGAGACCTGGGATAACTCGGTATTTAAGATTTTAATTTTGGTTACATTTTTGTTGTAAGATGCTTTTCCACAAAATACAATATAGATTTTATTTTATTTATTTATTTACATCTAAAGATAGATTAATTTTGAACCATGTATCTTTGCCTGCTAGACCAGAAGGTAGTTGGAAGTGTGACAGAACTAATATTGTGTCATCTGCAAACATAACTGGGGATCGCAGAGTTGACAGATTAAATAATTATTATGAATATATGGGGCAACATCTTAAAATCACAAGATATAAAACAATTTCCCTTGTATTTGTTTGCTAGTGAGGTTCTTCTTTATTTATAAAGAAAGAATAATTTACATAGTACTTTTCAAAGACGAAAAAACATAAAGGGCTTCCCAAAGAAAATCACATCAAAATTACAGCATGGTCAAAATGCTTTTACTATGTAAAAAATGAAGACAATTAAAACCAAAACAAAAAATAAAACATCCACATGAGTGATTCTTCACTAAATTAATAATCTGTATTCATGATCTAAAACATGCAGGAAACATGCTGGAAGCAGACTTCATCGCCAGGCATGTCAGCTCAATTTTTTTCCAAGTCCAACAGACCAGACCTGCAACTGTGGAGGTGCAAGTGGAAAATTCTAGCCACAGGGGGCAATGGAGGCTAGGTGACCTTTCGTTAACCCAATCATTTCAGCACACAATGACTCAAGAAAATGACTGAAAAATCCCTTTATCTTTTCAAGAGGATGTATATATAGTAACCACAAGTGTGGACCTAAAACAGAGCCTTGGGGTACCCCACAGAACAGATTGGTGGAATCTGACATGATTTGGTTTATACACACTGAAAAGCACAACCTGAACCAGTCGAGAACAGTTCCAGAGATACTCACCAACTCACAAAGACTTAAGGAGCTGTCATCAACCGTGTCAAAAGCTGCAGAATGATTAAAAAAAAGAAAAAGAAAGAAAGAAAAAAAAAGACGAACTTCCCTGGTTTCTGCACCCACCTTTTAGTCACTGGAGCCTTTAGGCAAAGGTTTCTGTTGAATGATCTATAACTAGATTGGAAAATACCAAACTTGTGTCGTTTCAAGTTATCAGTTAATCAGCCTTTACCTAAAATTTTATAAAGAGCAGAAATGGGCCTGTCATTTTTAGGCTGAGAGGAGTCCAAACTGGGTTTTTGTAAGGCTAGGTTCCACAAAATCATGTTCAGAAATTAGAGACAAAGCCGCGTTGCAGGGAAAGATTAATAAAATACACAATACAATGGCTAATTATATCAAAAACCTACCTTTAGAAGTAGGAATGCTCTGATCCAATCACAATTTTCAAATAATCTGAATCAGGTGGAAAAGATCAGATTTAATTTTATAAAACAAAAAAAAATCACAAAATCATCCTGAGATAAAGATTTTCAAATAAAATAATAATGGCTGAGTTTAAATTTCAACAAGTTCTTCTGCATCAATAGTTTTTATTTCTTGGACAACACAGCAATGTCAGTCACACAGAAAGAACAAAGCAAATTAACAATTTATAAAATTTAAAGGCCCCTTGTGTGAAATCCACTGGAATCATGATGAAAAAGTGCAACTCTTTTGCACCGTGCAGTTCAGAGAAAGTATTGCAGCTACGGTGGCTCACTCATGAGTTTGACTGTTTAATCAATTTCCAACCTGTGTAGCCTAACCCACACAAAGCTTAAAACAAACTACTCAACCTAAAAGCATTTATAATGATGACTGTTTATTAACCTACCAGTTCTGAAGGAAGCAAGCTAGTTCTGATAGATCTTGAAGCGGTTACGATTCACACAAGGAAGAGAGGTGACGTCAGCCGGGAGGTCAGGTGTTGTGAGAAATTGTGTTCCCCTGAAATATTCCGAGTACTGGTTAGCCATGGCTAGAGCCGGGAAGACGCTGTGTATGCTGTGTGTAAACTCCCACAGATTACCAGCAAAAGGAGACCCAAACCTAAAGGTATCGTTTGAGAAGAAGCCCTCTGTGTCGGAGTGTCTCTGTAACACGTGAAGAACTACATCTCCGTTAGTAGAGTGTTGTGGAGATAAACAATGATGATTTAGCCACTGGCTAGTGCATGAGCGTTGGAGCATGTTGGGAGATGGCAGTCTGCGGGAAGAGAGGAGACTTGAGTAGAAGGAATTTGGAACGGACACGTTGGGACCGGGTCGGGAATTCTGGTACTGAGAAGACAGATGAACAACTTGAGGTGAGTTTGGGAGTCAGATGGGCCATTCCCATCTGTACCGGGTCGGCCCGGGCCGGGTAGCGTAGGTTGTTTACATATCTGGGTGGCCTGGTATTTTCCCGGGCCAACCAAGGCTCATTTTCAGCCCTCTTCTCGAGGAGGTCTGCTTCAGGCCAACCAGGGCCAACACGCCCACTTCTGACAGCAAATTCACATCTTCCATTAGAGCAAGCCTCTGATTGGTGGGTAGAATCAGCCCACATGGGCTTAAGGCAAGGATGTGTGGAATCAACCGGGCCAGGCTGGGGCCGACTGGGGCTACCCGGCCCGGGCCGACCCGGTACAGATGGGAATGGCCCAAGAGACACTACTCAGCATCCAGCTAATAGAGGGCGGGGGTCTGAACATATGCAGCTTCCTTGTGTTGGACATAATGACGAACTGCCAAACTTTAAATGTCTTGATTTAATTGTAAGTTATTCAAAGTTATGCAAAACTAACAAACTCTCAAAAAGGTTAACATTACACAAATTACCAGCTATAAAAACACCTGGTAAAAACTTATTAAAAGCTTTACCGAACAGAAGGTGTTCTTAAAAATTGCAACAAACCAAGTTAACCTTTTTAATCAACAAGCATCAAAAAGATCCCTCTGGATCACTCAGTTTAAACTATAAAAGTAAAAACTCATCCAAACAAAGGGGTTGAACACAAACTGAGGCCTGGAGGACAGCAGAACCCCTGCACTGCTGCCTCCCAGACTGCTGAAGGCACAGCCTTTTATCCAGATGTTGGTAACCAGCAGGATTCAGCTCAGCTGTGCTCCTCAGCAGCCTGGAAGGGAGGAGGAGGAGGGGCGGTGTCAGGCTGATCACCGGGGCTGGGTGATCCTGGCTCCTGAATCTCACTGGCCAGGCTGGTAGCCATAACACGAGTACAGCAACGGTGTAGCTATTCTTTTCTATTTCTTAGTTGAATTAGCAGACTCCATACTTCCAGGGCGCACTGCTGCCCTCTGCTGGTTCTTTCAGGTTACAGTCACAGTCCAAACGGTTACGTGGAGCTCGTATGTCCTTAAACAGCTACTGTATTTTAAAATGGTGGATGACCATGGCGGCTCGAACACAGTTTATGTATATAAAAATGTATAATTTCAAGTTGAGAGGAATAGTTAGAATTGATGTTGGTGAGAAATATTGGTGAAAAAGGACAAGTTTGTGAACTGGAAACAGGATTTAATAGTAAACAGTTTGGGGCTTTAAAGGACAATTTGGAGGTTATTCTTATTTTAATGCCTTGGTGAAGAATCAGATTGGGACTTGTAGTTAAAGTTGCTTTTTGTTTCCTGTGTGGACTCTCATGTGCGTGTTTAAACTTACTTTATGCCTGAACCTGTCTCCACAAACGTCACACACAAAAGGTTTCAGTCCTGTGTGGACTCTCCTGTGAGTTTTTAAATTAGCATTTTGGCTAAATCTTTTTCCACAAAAATCACATGCAAAAGGTTTTTGTCCCGTGTGGACATTTAAGTGTCTGTTTAAATCTCCCTTAAAACTAAATCTTTGTCCACAGAGCTCACAATTATGTGGTTTCTGTCCTGTGTGGACTATCATGTGCCTGCTTAAACTTGGCTTCTGGCTAAATCTTTTTCCACAGAGCTCACAAACAAACAGTTTCTGTCTTGTGTGGACACTCACATGAGCTTTTAAACTTGTCTTTTGGCTAAATCTATGTCCACAAACATCACACATAAATGGTTTTTGTCCTGTGTGGATTTGAATATGATTTTGCAAAACTGACTTTTGTCTAAATCTTTGTCCACAAAAATCACACATAAAAGGCTTTTGTCCTGTGTGGATTTTCAGGTGACTGGTAAGATTTGACTTATTGCTAAAAGAAAATCCACAATCTTCACAACTAAATGATTTTAGTTGATTCTGGACTTTCCTGCATGACCCTACTTTTTGCTTCATTTTGCCCCGACAGCCTGAGGACCTCGTTGATGAAGGACTTGTCACTCTCACGTGTTTCTGGAGAGACCCTTTGTGGAGAACAGGTTTACCACACTCAGGGCAGCTTAAAGATTTGGTCACAGCCTTAACATCTGACTCAGAAGACTCGCTCTCATTCCATTCTTTTTCACTGTCTTCAGTTTCTGGTTCCGAGTCTGACAAGGATTTCAGCCGACAGTCACAATATTTCCCATCCTGGTCATCTTTTTTCAAACCAATTCCAGTCTCTGATGAATCAGAATCATCTTCATAAGGATTTAGATCTGGATTCCTGCTACTTTCTGTTCCTCCACAGTCCTCTCCACCACTTACTGCTTTCATGTGGTCAGGACAGGGGCTGGTTGGAAGATCTCCGTCTGTAGCCTGGTGCTGATCAAACTGTGACAACAGAACTTTGTCTTCATCCTCCTCACACTGACAAGAAACGGCATTGAATGAAATCCTGGTGGCATAAGTCTCCATCATCTCATGAAGTGGCTCCTCTTCCTCCTTTACACTGAGGGTCTCCAGGTCCATCTCGCTCACACCAGGATTTAGTTCTTCAGGAGCCTCTTCATTATTCAACACCATCTGCTGAACATCTACAGAGCACACTGGAACACAAAAAACATTACCTTTATGTTTACACCAAGCAGAATCATACTTATGTTTTTTTTTTACCTTACCAAAACAAAAACCATAAATGCAACAGCAACAAATATAGCACATTTTCAAGATTCAGAATTAACAGCTGTGAGGTTTATGTTTGTTGTTTGGTCCTGGAGACCCTAAAGATGATCACTCTCCTTTATGTTAACTTATGTATGAAAATCCAGAGTTTTTAAATTATTAACAATCAAAATGTGTGTCTTACACTCTTTGTGCCTCCTAAACATTTGTAACACTGGCACTAAAAGATGAACCTTGAATGTATGAAGCTTTAGCCTGGCCTGCCAGACTCATCCTCTAATTCTGCACAGAGCAAGAGTCTGGTAACTCACAGGCAGAGAGGCACATGAGGGGCGGGACTAGGCAGCTCAAAAATAACCAGAAAAAAGACGGGAATACCGACTGTACTGCGCGACGCTGTAGTTTTTTAGCTGTAGTCAAAAATGGTGTCTGGTAACGGCGCTAACCTATTTTTTATTTTATTTTATTTTTTAGAAGAAAGGCTTTTATCGCTTCTACTTGTTGTGGTTTTAAAGACATTCAAGTCATTTAGAACAGAGGAAAGAGCCGCAACGAACTCTGCTTCAGTCACCATGTTTACCAGAAACTCGGCGTTGTGGTGTGTGACGTACTCAGCGCTGATTGGCTCGGTTAGATTTCTCAGGGGGTGGGGTTATTTGAATAGGAGAGTTCCCAGACCCTTTTTCTGTGCAGAATTAAACAGAGGAGGAGTCTGGCAGGCCAGGCTAATGAAGCTCGCCAACACGGTATGAGTGCTCTACTCTGCCCCCTAGTGGAATCCTCCAGTACGAGGTGCAGCAGTAAGTCTGTGACCAAAGGCACAGCCTGCTGTCTATGTGGATGCGTTAAGTTTGTTTTATGCTTGACGCGTGCACGAGGTTCGTGCGGCCAAATTACGTAATTTTAGCAACCACACCCCTTCACGTGGCCTCTGTGCGGCCCAAAGTTTCCGCACTGCACACCTAGGAAATTTTCTAACCACGCGGATGGTCCTGTGCGGAAAAACATCATGGACTGACAAGTGCTAGTAGTGACGGAGGTTTGTAAGTACATCTTTATGATTCGGTCCATTAAGATCCCCGTTATAAAAATATTGTTAATAATAGCTGTCACAGTCGAAAAAGACAAGGACACAGTGAAAGAATGTTGTAAACAACAGTGATTTCTACTTCTACTATAGTGTAGTGTTGTAAGCATGCCGTAGAGCCCCATGCCGCCCCCTACAGTCTGGGAGAATATTGGTTCACAGCGGAGACAAGCCGCAGAAGGTAGGAAGGAACCACAAACGCTGCAAGTTCCTATGCACGTTTCATCCGCAGTTATATCAGTTATATATTTTCCGGAGTTATATCATTATATACATGGAGCGGTAAAACTGGTAGCCCACATATCTGTAGATTACTGAATTATATTGGGACACATGATGAAGCTAAGACCAGATGAGAACTCGTCAGCTTAGAGCCCCCGGTGGAGCACAGAAATGAAATATTTTTAAAAAGTAAACATATTGTACCAATTTTGGTTCTGAAGATGAACAGAATCCACCTCGATGTTCAAATCGGGTCGTGGGTCTTCAGAGTCAAACGGTCTAAAACAAGTCTGCACCTCCGGTTCTGATATCCAGCTAGCGGGATCGGAGCTTAGTTTAACTTCTAACGGTAATCCAATATCTGTTCTTGTCGTCGTATTCCAGAGAAAAAACAAATCTGACTGACTAGCAGAGGCTTCACAAGCTACATCTGATTGATGACACATTGTTCTCTGTTATAACGCTAACGCAGAAACACCAGAGTCAGGGGTTGTTTACTATAGCGGTTTCAGCAAAGCACCTTGTGAAACGTCACCAGCTGCCCAGGGCTTAGACCGGAAGTTAGTTTCGGTTTTTCCCGCGCCAGTCAAAAACATCAGATTTTCTTAAAAGTCCAGCCATGAAAATCCCAAAACCTTTTTCATCTGAGGTTTTAATACTTCTTTACACATGCCGTTCAAACGAATTTTGCCTCTGGCCAAAACCGTTGATCTTACTAATACTTCCTCTTGAGTGGTTTATTTTAAGGACATAAAAATGCCCAACAATATCACTGCCAACAAAATGATAATTTATAACAATAACTTTAGCTGGAAAGCACATGGTAATATTTCATAGTGCATTTAATGCAGACCACAGCTTTGTGTATGTAAGGTTTCTCCATAAGAGTGTCCAACAGTAAGTGTGGGGTGCAACGGACCTGCCCCCAAAGACCAGTGGAAGATGGAGGAGAATCAAGCCCTAGAGATCCAGAGATTTGCCCCGGAGACCACAGTGAGACCACCGCTGGCGCAGCCCCCAAACACCCCCACCCCGAGAGATGCAGAAGACCACCGCGGAGAGGCCAACCAGCAGCTATGCCAAAGGCCCAGGAGATAACGGCAGGCCCCCAGGCCCACCCGAAGTCGCACACTCAAGGAAAGGCCGAGCTCAGAACTCTGCGGCCCGGGACCCAATGGCACCCAACCTTGGCAGAGACCTGACAGAGCCCGGGGGTCCGGACCCCACCAGGCAGCCACCAGGAGCGAGTCAGCAGAGGCCAAAAATTTCCAGCCCTAAACACTATAGCTGCAAATACACAGGCAAACCCAGGCATCACCCACCAGCAGGAAATGCGACAGGGGTCAGCAGGTCAAGATGTTGTAGCACCACAAGATGTCCCACGAAAGGGGAGGAGTCCAAGAGTCTACCTGAGGGATAGTCACACATAAATACAGTTATACATTCCTACCCTCATTAAGTGGCTCCTCCTCTTCCTCCTTCATGTTGAGGGTCTCCAGGTCCATCTGGCTCACACCAGGTCTCCGTTCTTCAGGAGCCTGTTCTTTACTCAACACCATCTGGCAAACATCTACAGGAACATTGAAACACAAAAACATTACCTTCATGTTAACAGCAAGCAGCATCATATTTACCTTAGTTTTTTCTTTACCTTAACAAAACAACAAACTGTCAATAATGGTGTTGGGTGTCTCCGCACCGACGCAGACGCAAAAGCATGAACTAGGCTTTACTCTCACAGGTGGAGCATTAAAGATTCAGCTATAATGACCTGCCTGATATCAAAATTTGATTAGAAATAGGACCGTGCACAATCTAATTATATAAGATCGGTAAGGATTAAAATGTGATTACAATCTACCAAAGCTTGGAGGTCATAGAATCGCCCCTATCACCTTTCTGTGCCATTATTTCTAAATGTGTCTATGCCCACAGAACTTTTGTGTTTTTTTCCTTTCAGCAGAGTCTTGCCATTTGCGTGTCTGCTTTTGTCGGCCACACACCGATGAACCAGTCAGAGAAAGTTTCAAACAGCATGTTGGTTTGTTTAGCTGGGTCGCTCGGTAGAGCTGAGGAAAATTATCTGTTAGTCAGTACGGTCGGTGATCACATTGGTTCGGTCTCAAACGAGCAGATTTTGTTTATATGGTTCAAGGACTTCTCAGGAATGTGGAAAACCTCCAGCATGTGGGAGGAGTTAAAGATGAATGGTCCATGGTGTCCTCCTTAATTAGATAAACAAAGGCGGGCATGAGCTGTGTTGCTTTTGGAGACTCTGCACCACGTTATTTTATTAATTTAATCCCTGTTCTCTCAGTGCCATGTGTGACCTCAAACCCTGCGCGCACACACACACACACACATACACACACCCTCTTCTCTCATCCTTTTCACTGTCTGCCACCGCGCTGTGTCCTCTGTTGCAGCAGCGAGGACAGAGTAAAGCCTGATTTATAGTTCTCCATGAGCTCTGCAATGGAGTGATGCACACGGAGTGTTGGAAAGGTTTTTAAGCCTTGTTCATGCTTCTGTGTCAGCTCCGTGAGGGGATGACATGCACAGGCTGCATGGTGGTGCCGTTGTGAGCACTGTTGCCTCGCAGCAAAAAAGTTTCTGGTTCGAAACTCGGCTGTGGCCCTTCTGCGTTCAGTTGCATGTTCTCCCCATGCATGCATGGGTTTCCTCCGGGTACCCCAGTTTCACCGTTTCCCCACAGATCACAACATGCCCTATAGGTTAACATTTGTACGTCGCTTTGGATAAAAGTGTCTGCCAAATAAATAAACAAAAAAAAGAGATGTTTTGCTCTCATACTTCTCCATCCCCTGAGGAGCGTTGCAAGTGATTCCCTGCCAGGGCAACAAAGGGCGTAGCTCGTTTCTGGGGTGTCCCGTTATGTACCCAGTCCAAAATGGTGCATTTACTATTGTGTTTATGTTGTGTTTTTTGTATTTATGAGCCTTTTAACATGGACAAATTTGTCCCTCATCCCCCTCCACTAGGGCTGCACGATATTAGGAAAACCTGCGATATTCGATAACAGTGATTAATATTGTGATGACGATATTACTTGCGATAAATAAAAACTTAACCCAGGAATAAAAATGATCAAAAACAAAGAAATAAAAAACTCATAAAAATGAGAAAAGCAAAAGATGTGAGGAAAGGGAAAAAGAAAAGAAAATGAAATCCGTGGATCCCAGGAAAAGCAGAATCAGCAAAAAGAGCAGAGCAAAGCTAACTCAGGTGTTTGCTAACCATCAAAATTAAGTACTGTCCGCCTCGGGGGCGGGCAGCTACCTATAAGAACCCACCCAACTGGCCAAATGGGTGAAGAGCTCTTTTTGATGTGTTTAAAAAAAAACATCATGCTTCCGTTTGACTGACAGAATAAATTGTGTAGCAAACATTTGAGCTGACCGTTCATTGCGATATTTATCTATTATTTGCTATATGCATATTGTGCATCCTGATATCGCGATAACGATATATTGTGCAGCCCTACCCTCCACCATCTTTATGTGATCGCCACCTCTAAACCCACGTTTCCTGTCATTAATGTCCACGCATAAAACGCTTGTTGCGCATCTTTATACTCCTCCAGTCACGAGTGATAAACATTCATATGTTCAGAGTTTTTCCACGAGGTATTCTTCAAGCTGCTCCGTGTCTGCTGCTAGATATCTCGGGCTCTTTTATTTTTTTTGAGGGGGCAATAGCGGTGCTGTTGGCTAATCGAAGCACTGTCCTGACCCAAGTCTGTGTCCTGAACAATCAGCAAGCTTGCGTTCTCTGTCTAGTTTGACGGCTGTTAGGAAAAGCGGGCTTGACTCTGTCCACCAGTCCGAGCCTCGGCAAGCCCTTGCAACGACGAATAATGACATTGGGTGTCTCGGGCGGAGAAGCCCAAATTAGGAAATTCCTTTATTATCAGACAAATATTTAAGAATTTTTATTTCTACTTAGCAATGGAGCACAGAGTAATGCACCCCCTACCGCTTTGCCTTAGGCCCTGGATCGCACATATGTTGTAATTCAATTTAAATGAAGAGTAATGTGTTTCGACCACGACTCTGAGGTCAAGACGTTGTAGCACCGAAAGATGTTCCAGGAGAAGGGAGGAGACCAAGACCCTACCTGATAGACACAGTCACACATAAACACAGTCAGACACTCCCACCCTCATGCTCACTCATAAACACATTCAACCTAACGTAACGTACCAAGTGGTAAAATTTTCCACTACAAATTTACCAGAAAGAAACCTTTCATTTGCAGACATAAACCCACCATCTGTCTGGCCTCCAAATCCAGTTCTGCCCAAGTTCTTGTTTCTGTACAAGACAAAACATCTTTGCTCAAGTCCTCATGCCAGACTGCTGCATCCTCACTCTAAATAAATGTCAACGTACTCGAAGTTCCTACAGACTTTACAGCTCATAAGTTGGAATAATCATATGTGTTGAATGAACAGGATGTTTAAATGAAATGTCTGAATAATCTATGCTTTAATCAATATCAATTTATTCGTACACATTAGGGCTGCACGATATTAGGAAAACCTGCGATATTCGATAACAGTGCTTAATATTGCGATATCGATATTACTCACGATAAATGAACAAATACTAAAGTATGCAGTGTTGATGTCGTCTGGCGTGTGACGTCTGCTCTGGGTTCAAAGCAAACAAAAACTAATGCATGAATTCCATTACAACATAACATTTTTATTGAAAAAATATGCAGCTGCACCTGCTACTGTATTAGCAGCAAAACAACAAACTGCATGCATGCAGTTTCTCAGTGACTTTAAAACATCACCGCCACCATAAAACTTTTTCTGATGCTCCAAATACAGAAAAACATCCCTTACCAGGGTTTTAGAATAAATAAAAAATCAGAAAATAAGTTTAAATGTTAAATAATAGTTAACATCCTTAAATGCAACAGCAAATTCTCTCATTGCTACTGAGCATTTTCTCCACTTATGTGGTTATGATATAAGGCTGTTGCTGCAGTTGGGAAGTGAACTGTGCTGGGCCAAACTAGGAGAATATTAAGATTTTCTGAGGGAAAGAGAAAAACAATTGTCTACCTTTCAGAAGAGGAACTGGCAAAAAACTACATGGAAAATATGTGGAAAGCGTTTGTTTTTAACCCCAAATTGAACAAGTTTACCTAGATCTTAAAAAGCAGCTCAGATGATGAAACTGCAACTATGATTCTGATAACAAGCTAACAAATTGAACTAGCTCCTCTAAGATAACCATCTACCAGAGCTTCTGACTGACAGTTTATGTGCAGCAGCAAATCAACTATCCTGATTAACAAGGCTATAAAAGCTCATAAATGAAAAATCACTTTGATGTGTGGGGGAACGTTTCCAGGCCCTCTTTAGCACGGTGGTACTGGGAGGAGAGTGCTGTAGCCTTTTAGCTGGAAGCTAACCGGAGCCTGGGGCTAACATCACCACCCGGTGGAATACTAGCGACATGTAGGTAGGTGGGTTGGTTCACCGGCACGTGTCGGAGTCAGCCCGGTTATTATCAGCTGCTTAACGACACCGAGCGGACTCACGTTCACGTTTGAAAGCAGCGCTGATTCCAGAAACCTCAGCACAAAGTGCGTTCGTTAATCTGAGCCAGCATGACGAACAAGGGAACGGCGCCGCTAACTCAGTTCGGGTGTTGCGTTCCACCCATCCTAAGGGTCTACGTAGGGGGCGGGCGTATTACGTGAACGGACCCATCTGATTGACCGCATATCAGAAGGGCTACATTTGATTGGTCAAATAATACTTCCGCGTAAAAAAGAGCTAGTTTACAAAAAGTTGATGTATGACACGGATGGAAATGTTTAAACCAAACATTTATTGCCGTTTTTGACGTGCTTTGCAATGGGCCTATCGCACGTCCTGTTATTGCGATGACGATAATTTTTCGATATATTGTGCAGCCCTAATACACATTATAATAAGTAACATTCACTTCACATCTCATTCCCACAAAGAGTTGACCTATCTGAGTAACTGAAGGAAGGCGTGACTGAGAAATGTTTTGGTAAAGCCCTCAAACATGTCAAATTCTGTAGGTTTTGTGCTGTAGTCAAAGATGGCGTTGGGCAACAGCGCAAACATCTTCCTTTAGAAGAAAGGCTTTTAGAGCATCTTCTTGTTGTGGTTGTAAGACAAGTCCAAGTCATTTAGAACAGAAAAAAAGAGCTGCAGCGATCTCCGCTTCAGACGGCATCTTCGTTGTTTATCAGAAACTGAGCGTCACGGTGTGTGATGTACGCTGCTCAGCGCTGATTGGCTTGGTAAGAATTATCAGGGGGTGGGGTTATTTGAATGGGAGCGTTCCCAGTCCATTTGCCTCCCATAGGAAGCATTGGCATGGCTGGCCAGGCTAAAGCAATCCACTACCCCAGACCCCGCCCAGACGGCCAGCCCCCACTCCTATCCTTCAGCCCCGGGTAGCCAACCAAAGGGGTGGGATTGCAAAGTGCAGAAATCATCAAACTGACACTAGCTGGTGTCAACACACAACCCCAATCCCCCGCCAGAACCTTCAG